CTGAACCCGCGCCTGGTTTTCACAAGTTGCTTAGCCATTCTCTTTGTCGGTGCCGGCGGATTTGGCGCGTCTAAGGATAGGCAAAGATCGGGGAATCCGAGACCGGGACGTTTTGGGATCAACCAGAGGGCCTATCTAAGGTCCAATGATGAAGGATTGAACTTTAAACTGGTTTTTTATTCAAGGCATATCACGCAGTTGGGTACTGAGCACTGTAGGTAAAGCCGGCGGCAGTAGTGCTTTTTGCTGAGTGGAGGCTTGGGGCTCGAGGTTGCGGGGCAGTTTAGGATTTCGCACATAGAATTCGCGAGTTCCAGAGATCGACTACGCCGAAACGTCCGGCTTCAGGGTGCGGAAACCTCGTTCGCATAACTAGTCCTGGAAGGTTTGCTCTCAGGCTTCTTGGCCAAGGCCTCGCCAGCGGCTCAAAGTAGCGTTGACGTGATGGTGAGCTTTTTCAAGCGAATATCGCCACTGCTACTGCTACGGAGCACAAGACCGCACGAGAACTGCAAGTTAGCGGCGAGCCAGCACAACGGAACGTTCGGGATGTAAAGTGTTTCAGCGTACCTCTCCATATCTTGGGGGCAAGGACCCTCCAAACTCGAAGCAACCGTCAAAGAGATCTACCACTTACTAGATTGTCTTATGGCCAGTAATGTAAATTGCTAGTACTGTAGTTGCTATTTGCACTTTATTGCCCCAAACCTCAAACTCCAAACTCTGGAACCTAAACCCTAAACCGTAACTCGGGACTCAATAGTCCCAGAACCCTCAACGTCTTGGCCGCCGCTCGCAGGTCAGAATCATTCTCTGGACTCGGCTCAGCAACCTGATCCAACAGCTTAGGCTTCAGGGTTTAAGATTGTTGTTTAAGCACCTTCTCCTATCTCCTCTAGGAGTCCCATAACTCAGGATTAGGGGCGGGTTTAGGGCTTTGAGTTTTGGGCTGCTGGTAGGGTACAGAGGGTTGTTGCAAATGAGGCTTCCCATGCTGAGCTGTTTTGCACATATCCAACAGGGTGTTACAGAGACCCATGTGGCGTCTAACCCCCGCTGCTTGGATTTATAATGTTGTTTTTGTCACAAATGGGCCGCATCCTGAGCTGTGTTATGGTGGGCACACCACACATCCCGTGTGTGAGAACCACCGACTTGCAGAGACGAATTAGAGAAATCTTAAAGCCCATAGACAGTGGTTCATGTAATTCTATTGTGACTGTACGAGAAACCTATACACACTGAACCCTAGACCATGAACCCAGAACCCTAAACCGTGAACCTAAAGCCCTCAACTTTAAACCCTCAAACCTAAACATCTAAATCTAAACTACACGTAAAAGTGTTTTGCATCTGCCCCGGCCGTTCCAAGAAAGGCGAGATCGGGCCTTCGGGATTTGTGGCCTTCGGGTGTAGCGCTGAGGATTTTGAGCTTAAGGGTTTGCGGGTCACGGTTCAAGGATAGGCTGCAGGGCCGGATTGAGGAAAGCGGCCCCAAGAAAAAGCGAGGAAGAACTAAATACAGTGGCCCGAGTATACAGAACAGGGCTTTGGGTATATTATACTGCGGCTCTAAGAAGCAACCCTGAGGAATGTGATCGGTCACCCTAAACCCTAAACCCTAAACCCTAGACCCTAAACCTTAAACCCTAAACCCTAAACCGATCGGTCATTCTTTCCGAGCCCGAATCTCAGACTTCCCAACCCTCGATCCCAATCAGGTGCACCTCTGCAGCCCCAAAACTTTGTGCTCCGGGTAAAACCCTAAATCCTAAACCCTTAAACCTTAAACCCTAAACCCTGAAAATCGAGACTTCAAAAAGAGAACCCAAGGATGAGAGGCTTGGGGGACCGAAAGTGGGAGCTGCCAAAGAATTACCAATTCTACTTTGTTTTTGGGGTTTTGGTTTAGGGTTTAGGGGCTGTGGGGTTGTTGTAACTATAGCTATACTGAACTTAGATCCCAAGCAAAACTTTAACTTTAGCTGTTTCTTAGGGGTTGTAATAACCAAAGAGTAAAAATTACTTCTATTGCCCCGAAGATAGTATAATATAACTCATAACCCTATTCTCATATTGAGGCCCCCGTACGAAGCACTGAAAAGTGCAGGCAGCCGCCTTTGTTGTAACCTTACTTACTACATCCCATGATCCAGTAAGTAAAGGCCCAGCCAGAACCCTGCCTGATTGGCCGAGTCCTGTGTGACGGAAAGCCCAGACAATTTTGGCGTTTTCGGCATGAGGGTCACGGCTTGCGGTATGGGCGGTAGGGTCCAGGGTTTGAGGGGCCGGTCGAGGGTTTAGGGTTTAGGGTTTAGGGTTTAGGGTTTAGGGTTTTGGGTTTCGGGTTTCGGGTTTAGGGTTTAGGGTTTAGGGTTTAGGGTCCGCTCAAGGGCTTTGGGGTTTCAGAGGACCGGCAGAAGACTCGTGTAACCGTGTCTCCAGCAAAGCACTTTGCCGAATCCCATCAAGCAGCTGACGCAAAATACACGACAGCTATGAAACCACTAGGATTACTAGGACAACATCGTAACTCTCACTTTAGCTCTGAGGCGGAGCCGGAAAACAACGCTATCTGCGAACCCTTCTTACAGCGACTGGATCACCCGGCTCTCGAAGCAGTACGAGTCAATATAGGGGCCTTAACTCCTTAACAGTAAGAAGACTGCTTCAGGGCATACTATACAGTAGAAGCCCAAAACTTAGAAAGCCAATAGCCCCAATCCTCAAGAGTGATGTATAAGGAATCCCAGCACTATTTGGCCTTAATCCGGCTTCCAACTTTTGGGGCTTACTGTACTCTACCCTTATAACTTCCAGAGGTTGCAATCCGTGCCTTTCGGTGTTCGATGCAGGCCCCGAAACCGCAAGTACCCGGCTATATGGTACTCCGTATATAGTATATAGCAGAGTAAAGTACAGGACAGTACGTAAAGTATAGTGACAAACAGAGGGCGGCTTCAGGGGTGCGCTATGACGAAGGACTCCGACCCTATCTTAAATCCGGCTCCTGCATGGCTAGCTCGCACAGGCCTCAGAAAGTATCCAGCCTGCTTGCTCCACAGGCGACTGCAATGGCATCGGAACAATACGAATAGACTGCAGACAATCGCAATAAGGAATGGCAACAGTTACGGCGGTCATGACCATGACAACCACAGTCAACAAAATGGCTTTACAGCGGGGATCATCCAAACCACTGGCAAGAATAGCGATGAATAGCAGGCCTGATAGTTACACGATGGTAGCACTGTCAAACTACCGGCGGCAGCAGCAGCACCACCACTAACATCACCACCACGACCACGACCACGACGACCAGCTGCCCGCTACCGATACTATCACTACCAGTGCCACTACCACTATCACGACGACGACGTCGGCGACGGCGACGACTACCAGCACCACCATCGCGACTTTCTGTCTCTGCTAGGATTCAGCGATTTGAAGTTTAGGGAGAGTACAACTCAGCACTTGGCTCAAAAATGCTTTCGGTCGTGGGGTTCGGGGAGTTAAGCTCGTCTTCAGAGTAGCTGTGGCCAGAGACCTAGCTTCCTATTTTATGGCTCAAGGCAACCCTAACCCAGAAGCCTAAGTCGAAACTCCCAAGCCAGAAGCCAGCTAAACAGGCACTCACCCTCCTCCCATCCAGCCTTTATATAGCATGAGCGGGTTGGAGCATCACGCTCGATAAAATTGTTTCTGCAGACGCTGCGTGGATTTGAGAGATGCTGTTCTTCTGATGCTGCCTCTGACCAAGCACCTCCTAACCCAGCTGCCGCCCTTCCTACAACAAAAAGGTCATACACTTCTAGCTGACGCTTGCGTTATTGTGGCTCTCGTACCTTTGTCACAACCAAGAACTTCCCAACTCCTATCAGTAATAAGCGAGTATGCTTCCCTACATACTAACCTGCGAATGTGACCATCCTACACCCAATGACCCAAGTATCAGGTACCGGATAGCATGACCGCTTCTTGGATGATCCCTTACACAAGACGGACGCCGAGGGCCAAGATGGCAACGACGAACAGAAACGGCTGAGGCTGTGTGAGGCCCGTAGTAGTAGTAGTAGTAGTAGTAGTAGCAGTAGTAGCAGTAGTAGCAGTAGTAGCAGTAGCAGTAGCAGTAGCAGTAGCAGTAGCAGTAGTGCTAGTGGTTGTGGTAGGTGTAGGGGTAAGGGTAGGTGTAGTGGTAGTCGTAGTAGTAGTAGTAGTAGTGGTAATAATAGTAGTGGTAATAGTAGTAGTGGTAGTAGTAGTAGTAGTAGTAGTAGTAGTAGAAGTCGTCGTCGTCGTCGTCGTAGGCCTTTAGGGTGTGGGGTTTTGCTTTCAAGAACTAGGGTTTAGGTGTGCCACAGAGACCATCCATGAGCTGAGGGCTTGAAACCCACCGCCGCAGGAGAGGACAAGCGAGCATTCTGTGGTGAGCACAATATCAAGACGGGGGCTTGGGTTTAGGGGTTTAGGGTTTAGGGTTTAGGGGTTTAGGGTTTAGGGGTTTAGGGGTTTAGGGGCGGCAGAGTGAACGACGACGGTGGAAGAAGATGCTAAAGAAGGTAAAGCAGGAAACAACAGTAGCAGTTGCAAACAGCAAAACCCAACCACATCCGCTACAATGAACCCAAAGCTTTCAGGTGGGTGAAACTTGTTGAGACTTTCTTTTGTGCCCTGCCACACAGACTCCAACTACCCTACGGACTCTGCAAAAGACCCCTTGGCCGAAGTTTCCGGTTCCGAGAAGGGTCCGCGCTGCTCTTGCCAGGTTTGGGTGTTAGGCATGTGGGAGTTTCCGAAAAGGGGGTACTTTATTTGGGGGTCCGTATAATCAGGATCCTACTATTTAGGGTACTACATTAGGGTCCCCTATTTTCGGAAACTCCATGTGGCTTGGAGTCTTGGATTGGCGTTGAGCTTACTTGTTCTGGTTTCAGAGGCCAGTGCCCGATCACTTTTCCACAAGCCGGCGGTCCTGCGACGAGTCCACTACATCCGTGCCCTCAGAAGAAGAAGCCCACAATCTTGCCACCAACGTGCTTTCGACGGGCTTCCTGTCGGGGAGGCAACCTAAAACCCCATATCCGAAACCCTAACCCCTGATTCCAAAACACTCAATCCACCTGAATATAGCAGGCAGCATGTACTGTGTATGTGTATATGTATATGCAGAACATTGAACCTGTATTATGTAATATTCAATACATGATGCATAACACGTAAATATATGTAAATATAGCATACAGCTAGTTGAAATCGAGTTTGAACCCCAGCTGTGTGAAGAGTATCCCCACGGAGACAACGTGACTTGGAATCCATGAAGCTGGGTTGTAGTTTTGGGCTCTGAATAGTATTTATGAATAGGTACCTCTATAGGAACCATAGCGGGAAATCAGAGAAGTTTCCCAAATTGCCACCTAAATTAAGCTGGAGGCCCCAAGTAAGGTTCAGGAGCGGAAGGGTTGAGCAATGTAAAGTCCAAGACCTAAAACCTTCACCCGAAACTCATTGTGAACGGTTGAAGACTCAGAAGCTAAAGCCATAAGCCCCAAAGCCCGAGATTTTCAATCCTAGACCCTTCTCCCTCCACCCTCAACGGCTCCACCCCCCCACTCCGAGGATCCTCGTGGTCCATGATGCCGTAGGTGGTGGTCCTACGGGTGTAGGACAGTGTAGGATGTTTCGGATTGTTGTAAGGGCTCTAAATGGGCTCTACGAGGTGTTCAGGGTTGCTACAAGAGGTTCAGAGTGTAGGGCTTAAGGGCTCGGAGTTTAGGATTCAGGGCTTGGAGTTTTGGAGTTTAGGGTTTATAGGGTTTAGGTTTTAGGGGCTCGCAGCTGCTGCCACGAAGACGGCACGTCAAATGAACAACAATTCTCTTGCTGATTATCGTGTGGCTGGTCAAGGTCCATATGTTTTCGGTTAGTATGATGCCTATGACCTATTGACTGTTGCGAGTATGGTCCTGCGTCGCACTGCTGTGGCCTCAATGACTAGTCCTGTTTTTGCTACTACTATCATCACTACCACTGGCAATCTTTGTCAAGCATCCACATCGAGGAGTACTACTGCGACTATTGCTGCAATCATGCTGCCAACGGCTACGGCTCGAACGAGGACGAGGAGGATGAGCAGGACGACGACTCCTCCTACTGCTGAAAGAAGAGACTTCAAGCCCCTGTCGGACTAGAGTCTAGGCGCGTGGCCCTAAAGCAGGGTTCTATAATATAGGGGCATCAGTAGTTAGAATAGGGTTCCTTTAAAGGAATCCTTCAAGGGGCCTTTAAGGGGGCAACTTGTGGTCTGAGATCTAACAGTTTTGCATCGAGGGGGTAGCCTACGAAATCAGCCCGAGGCCACTGAGGCCCAGACAGCACGAGATGTCCGAACTGACGGGAGGGGAGCAGGTCGCTGGCCAGCTGCTCGATGCCCTCCACAGAGACCTGATACTTTATATGTTACATCGCATATATATATATATATATATATATATATATATATATATACTTATTTATTTATTTATCTATTTATTTGTTTACCTATTCTATTAAAGATCATACATTACAAACGTAAAACGGCTCCGTGCAGCTGAATAGAGAGACTTGAACCCCTAAACCCTCATTTGAACAAGTTTCCTTTGAAGACCCCCCTTCTGCTGCTTGCATGTTGGGTCTGGGCTCTTCAATTAAGCTGTCTGGTGTCCGAGCCAGCTCAGATTTTTTGGGTACGACAAAGCCGTGGCACGTCAAAGCGGGGGGAGATCACGCCGCACTTGTTCAGGCGGCCGATGAGCTCCACAACGACCTTTCCTGCTCGGTGGTCGTCAATGATCCTTAGCTAACTGGATCTAGACTCGAACAAGTCCGGAGCGCACTGCAGTTACGTTTCCCGGTTTCAAAACTTCAGTTCGAGTGCCACACAACGGACAGTGACTTCTACGACTTTCAGCCGAGAAACTCGAGATCGCCGATGTAGCCGTGCTTCTGCATCACCTGCAAGAACTTGATGATGACCTTGGAGTTCGGCCTGATGAGAACCTGGCGCTTGCCGCGCTTCTCGGCATTCACGATGTTGTTCCTTGTCTGACTGGGCTGAGTGTTTAGGGAAAGGGAAGGAAGTCGAAGAAAGAGAAAGCAAGGCCCGAACACTAAACCTGCTAGACCCAAAGCCTTAAACTCGAAAATCTGAATCCTACACTTTGCTCCGTCGAAGGACAAGCAGTCACGGAGGACACTGATCCGCACCATAGCGACAGGAGTTTGGGGAGGCTTTGGGCTTCGTCGGGGAAGCACTTGGCTTGAGCAAGTCCGCTGCAACCAACGGCCCCGAGAGAGCATAATATAGGGGCCTTAATTAAGAATTAGAATAGGGTTTGGGGCCCATTAAGCTATAACTATAAAATGGAACCCCCAAGATGATATTGGTAGTTATTTGGGCCCCTATATTAGCCTAGCTTCTTGGCGTTGCCATTGGGATTGTGCTTTTGTGGTCTTTAGCTTTACCTCACCTCTAAGGTTATGAGGCGGCCTTCGGTCGTCCGTATATTTGCAGGGTCCGGTCGTCCGTATATTTGCAGGGTCCGTAGGCCCTAGGCCACGAACCCCACACCCCGACTGCTGCAAGCACTGCTACTGCAGCTGCTGCTGCTACTGCCACTGCCACTGCCCCTGCCCCTGCCCCTGCCCCTGCCGCTGCCCCTGCCCCTGCCCCTGCCCCTGCCCCTGCCTTTGCCCCTGCCCCTGCCGCTGCTGCTGCTTCTACTCTACTACCACTACCACTACCACTACCACGACCACGACCACGACCACGACCACGACCACGACCACTACCACTACCACTACTACTACCACTACGACTACTGCGACTACGGACTACGACGACAACTACACCTGCTGCTGTTAGTACTACTGCTGCTACTACTGCTACTACGACTACCACTACTACTACTCCTCCTCCTCCTGCTGCTGCTGCTGTTACTACTACTACTACTACTACTACTACTACTACTACTACTACTACTACTACTACTACTACTACTACTACTACTACTACTACTACTACGACGACTTCTACTTCTACTTCTACTTCTACTTCTACTTCTACTTCTACTTCTACTTCTACTACTACTACTACTACTACTACTACTACTACTACTACTACTACTACTACTACTACTACTGGCCGTAGTAGCTTGTTCTTCTTAGAGCAAAGGCTCTTGCAAAATACCGGACCAGCCTCGCACTGCAAGAACCCCCAGCCCACAAGTGCTACCCTGAGTGAAGGTTAAACTAGCAGGGTTACTAGAGGGGCCTTAATAACTAGAATAGTGCTTCGGGTGCCTTCCTTGTTAGAGTTACAGTCTAGTATACCCCCAGACCCTGTTCTAATTATTCAGGCCCCTACATTACCATGAGGAGTGGCGTTTTAGGGTTTAGGGTTTTAGGGTTTTAGGGTTTAGGGTTTACTGTGGGCTTGGGGCCCAGGGCCTTGGGTCCGCAAGGGAAACACCTTAAAGCTTGAAGCCTGCAAGCCAATCTTATGGGAGTTTCCGAAATGGGGGGCCCGAATGTGGTACCCTTAATAGTAGGATGCTTATTCTAAGGACCCCAAAATAAGGTACCCCCCCTTTTCGGAAATTCCCATATGGAACTTCATCATGACGAGATCAACACTGCAGCTTCAACTCGAAGACCCTAGCTATAGCTGTCGCAAGCCCAGACGCCCAAGATGAACCTTACATCCTAAACCCTATACCCCAAACCCGAAACCCCATCAACCCTGAACCCTTCCTGCGCCCAAGCGTACATCTTTGGAGAATAGTACTCCTGCAGGTCCCATACTCTGAGCTCTAATAGAGTTTCGTGGATCATAATAGGCCTGAAATAAGGAGCCCTTAAGGAATAGTATCGGCAATTTAAGCCCCTGCATTACATCTCTTTTCCTGGCTGCTCCACTCACTTCGGATCCCTTCTTCAGGCCTCTCCTTGGTTCGTCGGCGATGGGTGGGCTTTCGAAGGGCTGTAATATAGGGGCCTTAATAGTTAGAATAGGGTTTTTGGGGCCCCTTGTACTGTACTTGTAATAAGGAACCCCCAAAAGAGAATTGGTAATTATTTAGGCCCCTATACTAGCTTCAAGGTCTTTAATCTTGCGACACTTTCTCTGCCGCCTTCCAGTGAAATTATCGGCTGTTAGGGTGGTTTGGGGCCGGTTGCCGGCTTGGGGGTCAAGGCCGGCGAGCTTCGGGGTTTTCAGAGCTGCTGAGTTTCGAGGTTCCTGGAGGGCTTCTGTGGTACATAGCTACTTGTTCCCTACTTACGAACCACTGTGCATGAATCCTTAAGTCCCTCCACCTCACTACGAGGGCCTTTCGAATCTAAACTTATGAAGCCAGGAGTCAGAAGAAGAAGCCCACAATCTTGCCACCCACGTGCTTGCGTCGCGCCTCTTCATGGTCCATAATGCCGTAGGTTGTCGTCCTGAAACCCCGATCACACATTTTCAGAATTATGCATGTTCTTACTACTATATACTTCTCATTGTTATTCCTACTCTTGTTCTTACTAGTATAAAAGCATATGGCATAAGCTTTAGCCTCAAGCTAGAATCCGGTGCTTGAGACGAGAAAGCCCTACAGTCTGGATCAGCACGCTTGAAGCACAGAGAGACCTTGCTGATTACATAGTTGCAACATTGTCATGACCACGGTCTTCGTATTCCAATAACAGGCCGCCATTGAATTCGAACGAGGGCCTCTTCTTGACCCTGGACGCTGAACCAGGGTTTAGGGTTTAGGGAAAGCGTGGCGCCAAGAATTGAGGACAAGGTTTTGAAATGATCTTGGCATGGCGCAGTCTATTGAAAATCTTTGATTGGATCGAGAAGCTAACAGAAAATTCCTAAACCCGAATCCCCAATCCTCGAATCCCCAATCAAGAAATAGCGAAAAGTATGGCACAATGCTCTCCCTGACAAGCGATACATGGGGCCCGCAATTACGAAAACTGGGTGTCGGGGCATAGTCGAGTGTCATTTTACGGGGACTATACGGGGATAGTGTATCTAAACACGGTCAAACCCCTCTTTCTATAGCATTATGGCTGTCAGCTATTACGAGTAATACTACTGTTTCATGAGCATGAGCTTTCGCCTTTGGAATAGCATTGGCATGAGCATTGGTACCAGTATCAGTATTGGTATTAGTATTAGTCTCTTTCTGTTGAGCAGGACTACTATTACTCGTGGTAGTAGTACCAGTAGTAGCAGTAGTAGTCGTAGTAGTCGTCGTCGTAGTCGTCGTAGTAGTTGTTGTTGTAGTTGTAGTTGTTGTTGGTGGTGGTGCTGCTGCTGCTGGTGCTGGTGTTGGTGTTGGTGTTGGTGTTTGTCTTGGTGTTGTTGTTGGTATTGTTGTTCAGTCAGACAATGTCATAGTAATCGTACTGGAGCCTTTATAGAATCCGATTATGAATCCCTTGTAAACCCCTTTAAGGATCCCTTTAAAGGGAACCCTACGTAATTATTATTCAGGCCCCTACATCAATCTTACTGGAGCCTTTGGGAATCATCTCAGGTGCCGGCAGAACAAGGTGGCCGAACTGTCGGGACGGAAGCAGATCGCTAGCGAGCTGCTCGATGCCCTCCACGGAGACCTGGTTTCTTGTATGTTACATTGTATACATAAATATATACGTGTATATATATATATATATATATACATACATACATACATACATACATACACACGCATACACACACATACATACAGATTATATCATGCATTATGAATGTACACGGAGACCTGGTTTAGTGCGTGTTTTCTTCATTGTTCATGAGCCTTTTGCCAGGCAACTCTGAGGGCTGTCGGTTTAGGCTCGAGGCCCGACTCGAGGCCCTCAATCCTCAAACCTGAAACCCGCAAACCCTCTTAAACGCTAAACCCAGTAAACCCGTACAGGTTTGCTCGCACACCTAAGGAATCACGGGACTTAGCAACAAGGGTTATGAGTTCCTCAACCAGGGCTCGAAGTGAGCAAATCCTTGTAGTTACCTTAAGATGGAACTTCACGTGGAGTCTTTGGCTTGACAGGCTACGAGGTCCTGTAGCGACCACAAACACACGGGGCTGAATGTGCTACTGTAGCTGCTTCCGCTGCCGCATATAGGCTGGTGCTTCATCCTGGTGGTAGGGCTTTCCTCACACTCCTTCCAGACATGACAAAGCCGTGGCACGTCAAAGCGGGGCGAGATAACGCCGCACTTGTTCAGGCGGCCGATGAGCTCCACAACGACCTTTCCTGCTCGGTGGTCGTCAATGATCCTTAGCTATCTGGATATGGACTCGAACAAGTCCGGAGCACACTGCAGTTGGGTTTTCCGGCTTCAAAACTTCAGTTCGAGTGCCACACAACGGACAGTAACTTCTACGACTTTCAGCCGAGAAACTCGAGATCGCCGATGTAGCCGTGCTTCTGCATCACCTGCAAGAACTTGATGATGACCTTGGAGTTCGGCCTGATGAGAACCTGGCGCTTGCCGCGCTTCTCGGCGTTCACGATGTTGTTCCTGGAAAGGGAAGGAAGAAAAAAGAGAAATCCCCAACACCCAATGTATTGATCCCTGAACCCTGTCAAGGCAACCCTAAACCCTGAACCCTTTCCGAAATCCCTAAACCCTAAACCCTAATAACCCTAAACCCTAAACCCTAAACTCCGTCGAAGAACAGGCAGTCGCGGAGGACGCTGATTCGCACCATGGTCTCGGAAGTCTTTTGGAAGCTGTTGCGAGCCAGGAACCCTCTCCGCTTGAGCCGGAAAAGCCGCACAAGCTTGCGGGTTTGTGTGTAATATAGGGGCCTGAATAATTAGAATAGGGTTTTGGGGCACCTTATTGTTTAACTATAATAAGGAACCCTGAGGAATAGTATTAATAATTAAAACTCATTAAAGCTCGTTTAGTAGTTCTCGGAAGTTGTCGGCGTGGATACAAGTACCCCAATCAGGGCAAGAAGCGCAATTGTGAATTAGCCTGATTCACCTAAACCCCTAAACCCTACGCCCTAAACAGGTCTACGGTTTAAGTTCGGGGGGCGGGCTTTAGGTCCTGGAGAGTTGAACTTTCAACCTTCAGCCCCAAGCACGTAAGTTCCCAGAGACTCCAGTATTCCTTAATTAGGGAATATACCTTAAGTCATATAAGGGATCCTACCATAATTTAAGGAATATTCCTTAACTAAGGGATATTGGAGTCTCTGGTTTCCTTAAAGCTTCAACCCCCCTGGGCGTAGGATTGTGTTGACGGTCAGCTCCTAAGCCAGGCTACTGAAGATGACCTGGCATGCAGCTCGTAGGCGCATTCTGGTCATGTTAGTGTACCAACACCCTGAACCCTAACCCCTAAACCCTAAACAGTCTTGTCAGAGTTTCTGGGCAGGAATGCTTAACCCGCAAACCGCAATCAAACCGACCGGCCTGGATGTACCACAAAAACGCCTCACAATTCTCAGCAGGAATCCTGTTCGGTGACGAATGTAAGCTGCACGCTCCTTCCATCGCAACATGCGAGATGAACACATGCATGCCAAGGACACCTCTTCCACATGAGACAAGGAAGGGTGTCGGCGGGGATCTATCACGGTCGTCATGCACGTTCAAAAACACAAAACCCCTAAGTCCCAAACCCCGAACTCTGACACTTGTATGTGCAGCAACAAGAAAGCCCGGAGAAACGAAGAAGCTCCTGCGATCTCAGCCCGTAGAACACCCTGCCGGCAAATGTGCCTTCAAACTAAAAAAAGAAGGAAAAAAACCCTAAACCTGTGAAAGTGCCCTCTTCAGCCAGGTCTATGCTGGCGTCGCCCGCGTATCAAGGGAAGGCTACGAAGTAAAGTCCCTTGTGCCATGACATGCTCTGTCCGCAAGGTAACATGTTGCACTTGTACATTAAGCGACAGCACTTGCAGCAAGGACTTTTCAGAGCAGTGTATAGTGATGTCGAAAGCACAGCCTTTGCAGATAACGCTACAGAGACATCTCTTTTGTGTGCCGTAAAAAGTGATCGCGAGAGCCGTGCATTCATAAGCCATGGCTACAATTCGTTGATGGTAGAACCATCTGAAAGGAAGGTCCCGAGAGCCTTCCAACAGGTTATGAGCGCCCAAGCGGAAGGGCCTGCGCTAACCGCCAACGGCGTGGATCCGGATGTGGCGAGAGGTTTTGGGGAGCCGGGACTACCTGTTCGTAATGATCGAATGGGAGGACAAAGGGCCGGGCAGTCAACCGGCGAGCAGGGCACTATGGGTGGCGATGCGGAAAATGTGTCTGCAGGCGCTGGAGCACCCGGGGTGCGAAGCTCGGAGCAGCTACCTTCAGCGAGTGGAGGACCGCAGGGGAACGAATCGCATCTGCAGCATGGGAGACCAACAAGGAGCTCTACGACTGTGGACGTGGACGGACACCCGGGTCCGAGCGATCTTGCTGGATGGCCGCATGGGGCTGCCGGTCAAGCGGAGTTTACAACGCCGAGATCGACGGCGTCTGTGATGGGCCAGCAACCAAGCTGGATGACAGGACTGGAGATGCCAAGGTGGGTGTCGCGTTTGGGTTCGTATCTGAGCGTGGGCCACCTGGATACTCTTCCTAGCCCACTGGCTGGGGCTAGCGCGACCCCGTCGCCGCCTGGGGGGCCAACCTTCAGGCTGAGGTCGCCGGTGAGGTCTATGAGGCCTCTACCGCCTCCTACACCTCAAGAGGCGATACAGGCGGAGGTCCAGAGACAACTGGGTGGGTTGTTGGATCGGTTGCAGAGTGCAGAACAGTACAATGATGTGCTGAGGATGGAGCTGGAGGCCACACAGAGATCCTTGGAGCAGGCTCGCCAAGCCAGAAGCGAGCCTGCAAGGGCCCGGGGAGTATGTGAACCAGCTGAGCTACGCCAAGGTGACCTAGGCCAGGTATATACCGGTGATCCTCCTCCTCTACCAAGGGCCCCAGCAGTATCTGTACCATCGGAGCTACCCCTAGGAGATCCTCTTACGCTACTTGCAGGGCAGCTAGGGATGACGCAACCACAACCACTACCGGGCACCCAGGGCTACTTCGGGGATCGTGAGCAGAGACCTCCTATTCCTACACAACCACCAGAACCGATGTCTACCGCACCGGCACCCCCACCACAGCCTCAACAAGAGAGTAGGGGCTTTCTATGTTCCTTTTTGGGACCTCAGCATGCCAGGAGCCAGACGCCACCACCGCCGAGGATTGCATCGGGGTCACCACCGGAGTCGCCGATGATGGATGCTCTTCTTCTTGGAGTACAACAGCTTCAGGAGCTGCAGGCGGCGGCGTTAGCCAAGGGCCAGTCGAGCTCACCCGAGATCCTGAAGCCGGGAACCTCAACGTTAACACCCCTACCCGAGCTTAGCCAAGGAGCAGAAGCAGCGTTGCAGTTCCAGGACTGGCTGGAAGTGACCTCGGCAGCGATGAGCGATGTGAGTGATCAGAGCGCTACGTGGTGGAGAGAGGTTGTTCGGGCTGTTGATGAGGCGTACCAGAAATGGTTGGCGTCCACACCTCTCGAAAGGCTGGGGGTTCAACCAGGCGGGCAGGAGCTGTCCGAAACAAAGTGGACCAGGCTCAATGCGAGAGTGACTACGATGCTGCTATCTGCTATGTCCCCCGAACAACGTACCGACATGATTTCTCACAGGATGTCTACCAGTACGGTGAGGATGCTGTTCAGGTTGCACACGCTGTACGAGCCGGGCGGGAGCAATGAGCGTCAGGACCTTTTACGACGTCTTCAGAATCCGCTCGACTTTGTGGCGGGTGATACAATGGAAGGTGTCCTATGTGTACTGCGAGCATGGCCGAGATGGATGAGTCGGTGTTTGGCGGTGCGAATGGCACCTCCGGACGCATCTGTGCTAGCACGTGGGTTGAAAATCCTTACGGCTAAGTACATCGAAGGAGCTCCAGACTCGAACTTCAGGACCAGCGTGCTGCGGACGAGTTTGCGTTTGGATGGGCAGCCGACCATGGACAATGTCTATGCCTACCAGAAGCATCTCCAAGCGGAGATTGAGACCCTCCTTGCGAGCCAACCGAGGACTGCGGCATCTACGCCTGGAGAACAGCCACGTCTACGTGCTCTGGACAAACCACAGTCCCCCAAGGGCAAGGACAAGGACAGGGACAAGGGCACGGGCGTGGACCTCTGTCGGTACTTCCTGAAGCCCCAAGGCTGCAAACGGGGGGCCAAGTGCAACTACAGCCACAACATGAGTTCGTTGGAGCGCGAGGTCAGGAACCGAAAGTGCCTGAGCTGTGGAGCTAAGAGCCACAGGCAGAAAGACTGCCCCATTGGACGTCCGGGACAACGACCGCCGGGCAACACTTCAACGAGTACCACGTCACCTGGTGGGAACAAGGATCGGCCTATCACACCTGCTATGTCAACGATGTCTACCACAGCGACCGCGGGCTCTACCGATTCCTCTTCGCCCTCTTCCACGATACAGGGGACGGCATGGACACTTGAGTCGCTGATACAGGCGGCACAGCAAGTTGTACAGGCCCAGACTCAGAGCGAGGACAGGTCACCTGAGAAAACTCGTCCGGAGCTGAAGACCATCAGGGTTCGGGATATCCGGATTTCAGCGATGAGCTCGTCATCTTCGGCTTTGCTGGACTCGGGAGCTACCCACAGCCTTCGAAGTGCCAAGGATGACAACGAGTGGGACCAGGCAGCTGAAGTACAGGTACAACTGGCAGGGAACAACTCCCTGTTGATGCGGATGAACACCTCAGGCACCCTGCTGATGCCACCACGAGGCCTGCCTGGGATCTCTGAGGGACCGTCCTCTAGAGGTCAAACCATAGTTCCCCTCGGCGAGCTGGTGAGGACTCTGGGCTACACTTTGGTGTGGTCTCTTTCGAGGTGTTTCTTGCAGACTGGCGATGGAGAACAAATTCCGTTGTCAATCAACTCGGGTTGCCCACAGCTGTGCGAGGCTGAAGCACTCTCGATTATATCTCGCTTGGAGGACAAGAACCGCGAGAAGCTCGAGAACGCCACGGTCACGACCATGGACCGGTTGGCGTTGGCGGCCCTACGAATGCAGACCTATGCGGCTACCGGCAATATGGACGAGGGCTACAGAGGCCTACGGGACGCAGGGTTTCTACATGGGCTCCCGGAGAATGTCTTGATGGCCTCCTCATTCCGGGTGTACGAGATGAAGGATGGAAGGTGTTCAAGGGTGTGGACTTCCTGACGAGGCCACAGAAGCGATACCTTTGGTCTGCCCGAAAATGGGTAGTCCACCTTTACGCGGGAGACCCAGGACACTACCAGATGTTCCAGCTCGACCAGGGCAGGATGTTTCAAGATGCAAGGCCCACAACGTGATGAACGAATCTACGTGGAAGCTGCTGTTGTGGGGCGCCCTCACGGGGCGGCTAGATGCAATCGTTGGAGGACCACCAGGCCGCTCTGGAATGTGGAACCCCAAGGGAGAGCTCCTTTCGGGGAAGACCAGATCGCTCACCACCGTCGTCCGGATGATGTGGCTCTACGCGGTGGCCCGGGCGACACGAAGCTCAGGAGGGAACGTCTTGAACAAGGAGAGGCCGGTGGCCTTTGTGATGGAGCATCCTACGGCGAACCGTGGTGGCGGGACTTCGTTATGGGAGTCGACGATGTGGCGGGAGTTTCAGCAGGAGATGGGCATGACCGAGGTGTCCTTCAATCAGGAGGCCACTGGAGGTGCCAATTCACCCACAACGATTGGAACCAACGTCTACTACCTACTGGGCTTGAATGGCTTGGGAGGAAGGGACGCTCCACCGAGCACCGAGCAGGGTGGCGAGATGCTGGCCGCTTGGTCTCCAGATCTTGTGAGAGCAATGGTGACGGCTTTGAGGTTCTGGGACAGAAGACCAATGATGCCACCCGCGGTGGCAGCGATGTCGGCGGAGCAGTGGAGGAAGCATGTCCAGTCGAACCACGCGGAGTACCACCGCGATTGTCTTACCTGTGTTATGTCAAGGGGGACGGGACGGAGGCACGCGAGAGTGAGGTCGCCAGACATGTTCAACCTCACGGTCGATGTGGCTGGTCCAGTGAAGCCGGGCTTGGATGTTTCGTCAAAGGGAACAATGGGAAAGGGCCTACGTTACATGTTGGTTGGTCGCTATGTTCTCCCCACCGAGTATGTCAAGGGCTTTACGGGTCGCGAACCTCCAGAGGACCATGGTTTGGGTACAACTACGACAGGTGATGCAGAGGGCAACGGCAACGACAAAGAACCCACAGGACCTTCTACACCATTACCACAAGAAGAGGGGGAACGTGATCTACAACAAGGTGATGCAGAGGGCAACGGCAACAACAAAGAACCCGCAGGACCTTCTACACCACTACCAGTCACTACCACAAGAAGAGGGGGAACATGATCAACAACCAGCACATGTAATTTGCGATGACAACGACAAAGAGCCCGCAGGACCTTCTACACCACTACCACAAGAAGAGGGGGATCCGTTTGTGTTAAGTGACGATGACCCAGGTGAGCAGAGTCCTTTGATCGTGCGTGACGATGACCCAGGTGAGCAGAGTCCGTTTCCGGAGTTGTTCGAGCAGCTTGAGCGGAACCAGGAGGGCTTTGTTGGTGGAACCCAGGTTCAACGCGATGGATACATCGACTACGAGGACTCCGAGTATGAGCCATCAGTCGTCCAGGGGGAAGTCCAGGAGCAGGAGGAGTCAGTTCAGGGGCCAGATCGGACGACGAGAGTGTTTCCTGATTGTGAGGAGCCAGAGTCAACCTACTTGTTGTTTGCGAGGCCGTTACCGAACAATGGCACGCAGGCGATTAAGGGGGCGATCCAGGACATCATCCTCTACTTGCACTCGCGAGGACTTCCGGTTTACCGCCTACATTCGGACAAGGGCGAGACCTACAACCACTCAATCCGCAACTGGCTCAGGGACCAGGGCATCCGGGCCACATGGTCTGAACCTGGGAAGCCCCAGGGGAATGGACAAGCTGAAAGCGCAGTTCGATGGGTGAAGGACCATACACGGACACTACTGGCCGCTGCACGGCTACCAACACGGTTGTGGCCATCGGCAGCAGAGGCGGCTACAGCGCTCCAGCGGTCACGGGTGCTTGGATGGAGAACGAAGATGTTAGCACCGTTTGGCGCAACCGTCCATGTTCGACGCAAGGCTTTCGACTCGGCTGGACCGTTGAGGAGGGAGCAAGCATTCGAGTCCAAGTGGGTCAAGGGAACCTACGTGGGACTTAGCAACATCCTGGACAATGGCCATGTGGTGTGTGTGGAGGGAACGCCCGAGCACAAGGAGAAGTTTATGCACACCTTCCACGTGAGGCATCGACTTGTGGATCCTGGACCACCGCAGGAGGAGTTGGAAGTTCAGACTTCGTTGAGGCCAAGGCGACGTGTTACGGAAAAGAAGCCCATGGACCAGGTCGAGCTGCGACAACTCGCTTTGTCCCAGGAGGAGCGGGATGATTACATTGCCCGGAAGGCACGCTTTCTGCTTGATGAGTGGGATCAAGACGGAGCAGTTCGTTTGGTGGATGAGCTCGCGGAGGTTGGCTTCTTTGATGAGTGGAAGTTTGGAGTGTTCCGTCATGGGGGATCTGTTGGATGGTTGCGAGGGCTACATCAATATCCCGAGCTCTCGCAGGTTCTTTCAAGGACCGTCTTGGAAGTCAAAACTTCACGGCAATCTGGGTGGCGAGGAATGCGGAGCGTGGTTTGCATAAGGACTACAACAACGACGAGAATGCGGTGAACTACGTCTACCCCATCCGGATGCCGAAGCGCGGTGGCGAGTTATGGGTGGAGCTTTCTCCCGGTGATCGTGTGGATGGAGAGATCACTGACCGTACGGACAGTCAAGGGAAAAGGCGCTATGGCTACCTCAAGAAGCTACAACATGGATGCTGTACGGTTTTCTCTCCACGGCGGGCACATGAAGTACTACCATGGACGGGAACAAGAACGGTCTTGATAGCCTACACACCACAATGTATGGGAAGGTTGTCCACTGAGATGATCCATGAGCTCGAGACCAGGGGCTTCCAACCCCCGTTGTCCCAGTACCCGGAGTATTTCCTTGCTAAAGATCCTCAACCCATGGAGGCCAAGGTGGAAGTGGAGTCCCACGACCAGGTGGAGCATGCGACTGTTGAGGACCTGGATGGTAGCGATGTGGAAGAAGTCTGGGAAATGTACTTGGACGTTGATGGTGGCAAGGTGAAAATTGGGGACGACGAGACGGAGCATCGAGAGCAACCACGCCCTCGTTTCATGAAGGTCGAGGCGGGATTCACAAAGAACGTGGAGGCGATCCTACAAGAGCTCAAGGGACCCATCGAGGTGACCTACAACGTCGACCCCAAGGAGGTCGCGGACAACATGGGCCTGTGGATGGGGGCAATTCAGAAGGAGCTAGACGGTGTTTCAGCGGCGATCAAGAAGCTTCTCCCCAATACCGAGGAGAGGGTGAAGTGGATGCGGCGACCAGGTGCGCAGAAGCTCCCGGCCAAGTTCGTGTACACTGTCAAACCAGCCGAGAACCCGGATCCAGCCGACAAGACAACGTGGTTCAAAAGAAAGGCGAGGCTGGTGGTCTGTGGAAACTATGCATCCCCAGACCAGTCTGAGCTGTACTCTGAAACGGCCCCCTCGGAGGCCGTCAGGGCAGGACTGGTGATGTCCCGTTCCTACGGACCCCGCTGAACCCGGAGGACGGCTCGCCTACCATAATAGTGACACCACCTCGTCTTCTACTACGACTCAACTTGATTGTCGAGGACGAATTGTGGGGCCTCATTAGGGCATTATACGGCCTGCGACAGGCACCAGCCCTTTGGTCGTCCCACCGCGACTATACCTTGCGTACCATGGTGTTTCCTCACGGCCGGCGATTGTACCGAGGGCGCACGGTCACAGCATGGTGGGTCCTGAAGGACGAGCGGGGCTCGATCAAGGCCCTGGTGATCATCTACGTGGACGATATCCTCTTACTGGGTGAGGAGGAGACGATTCGGGAGGTTGCAGAGACTATTCAGGGCGAGTGGAAAACCTCTGGATTGGTATTCTTGCGACCAGGACATCCTCTATGCTTCCTGGGCATGGAGCTGGAGATCAATGACGAAGAGACGGAGCTCTATGTGAACCAGAGGAGCTACATTGAGGAGGTCCTCAGGGCCTATGGCTATGCGGAGGACGATCGGGACAAGATCCCGCTCTCTAAGGAGCACGCCTACTTTGAACGCCTAGAGGGTGACCCGGAGCCGTCTACAGAGATGATTTCGGCAGCTCAAAAGATCACAGGTGAGATCATGTGGATCGCCCACAAGACGCGACCGGATGTCGCGTTCACCTGTTCACTGATGGCCTCTATTACCCTGAAGGCCCCGGACCGTTGCCTGACGATAGGGTACAAGGTGCTGAGGTATTTGAATGCCACCAAGGACGTTAAGATGACCATCAAGAATGACGACACGGACCTAGTGCTTTACCCCGACGCGGCCTTCGCACCGTCGAGTGAGAAGAGCCACACTGGATGGGTGGTTTGCTGGTCGGGAACGCCGATAGCATGGAGGAGTGGGCGACAAAGCACGATCGCTTTGAGTACAGCGGAGAGCGAGCTCACCGCCATTGTGGACGGGACGATCGGCATGATGGGCTTGGAGGCGCTACTTGCGGACCTACAAGTTGAACCCACTACGAAGCTGGTGGCAAGCGACAGCACAAGTGCTTTGGCGATTGGTGCTGGAACTGGGTCCTGGCGCACACGTCACCTGAGACTGAAGGCGGCCTGGGTACAAGATATGATAGCTACTGGAGAGGTGCTGACTAGGCACCAGCCAGGTTTGACGCAGCCCGCGGATCTACTCACGAAGCCGCTCAGCAGCCAACGTATAAGGGCGCTTTTGAGTTTGTGGGGAACAACCTCACAGGAGGAGCGTCCGCAACGGGGGGAGCGAACAATCACAACAAGTGGATGCTCCACCAAAATGATGGTTGCTATGGTGTGCTGATTGTTGATCCTGACGGTGGAAGCAAGGGAGGCTACTTCTACCAGGCAAGTCGAACTTGACTGGGACATGGCGGCGGTGATGATGGGCCTCTTGATGATCTTGGGGGGTTTGCTTCTCTATGAGGGAGTGAAGTGGGGAGCCTTCGAGATCTACTACAATTACACCCCAGGAGCTTCCAGCAGACGCTTGAGAAAGCTGCAAAAGCTAAGGGAGGCTACGTCGCTGGCAATCCAAAGGGAGCTTGAGAGGGTGACTCAGCCGTCGACTATGTCATCATCGCGATGGGAAGATGGAGGAGAACGAGATCCACCTCTGACAAGGCCTACGACGACGATGTCACCGCTGCGACAGCGGCGTCCGATGCGAGAAATCACACCAGAACCACGACGCAGAGCGGAGCCCATGCCGACCCCACCTACATACGACGGACCTACGGAGCCGATGAGTTCACCGGCACCATCGGTTGGATGGAATGAGGTCGAGCGAGCTGGTGGAGGTTCGGCTGATGATCGACGCGTGTGTGTGGATGCTGTGATGCTCATGCGCCTAGAGGAAATAAAAGAGGGGCTACGCATTTGTGGCCTTGCGCAGTCAGGACTGAAGATCGATGCAGCTACAAGGCTGTCAGAGGTCCTAATCGGACAGCTTGGAGGTTCCACCGGACCGACTGCCCGACAACTACGCTACATATTGTGGTTGTGGCGAGATCGAAATCTGAGTGGCCGTACATTGCTGAGCTGGAGGGGTATAGAGTCCAGAGTTGAGGCTTCGAGAACTATAGCCCGGCTGAAGGCTATGCAACCGTGACACTGCGCCCCTTTCGGAGCGAGCGAGGAGGAGTGTGAAAGTGCCCTCTTCAGCCAGGTCTATGCTGGCGTCGCCCGGGTATCAAGGGAAGGCTACGAAGTAAAGTCCCTTGTGCCATGACATGCTCTGTCCGCAAGGTAACACGTTGCACTTGTACATTAAGCGACAGCACTTGCAGCAAGGACTTTTCAGAGCAGTGTATAGTGATGTCGAAAGCACAGCCTTTGCAGATAACGCTACAGAGACATCTCTTTTGTGTGCCGTAAAAAGTGATCGCGAGAGCCGTGCATTCATAAGCCATGGCTACAATTCGTTGATGGTAGAACCATCTGAAAGGCAGGTCCCGAGAGCCTTCCAACAAAACCCTAAACCCAAGCTCGATCGACCAAAACCCCCTAAGACCCTGGGCCTGGCTGAAACCCCCTGCATTTAGGGTCTAGGGTTTAGGGTTTAGGGTTTAGGGTTTAGGGTTTAGGGTTTAGGGTTTAGGGTTTAGGGTTTAGGGTTTTGGGTTTAGGGTGTAGGGTTTTGGGTCTAGAGACAAACTCAAAAAGCCATTTCTTCCCCCCGATGTCGAGGCGGAGCTGCTTCGCCGGGACTTTTTGTCGCGCCTTGGCGTGCTTGAAAGATCACGGGACTGAGAAAGCAAGGTTATATTTACGCAACTACACTCATCAGCACGCCTGATCCGACTTAAAATGCTTATCGTGTTCACACTTACGCAGTCCCGTGATCCTGTCTGTGAACTTTTCTAGGTGGCTGAGCGGATTCTGGAAGTGATCCGGCTGTTGACGTTGGATTACGACCCAGCATTTAGGCTTGGCCCCGCGAGGTTGCATCCAGGGTATTCGAAAAAAGCCAACAGATGCTAAATCTTAGGTTTCGAACACCAGAAACCACCAAAATCCTCAACCGTTCCACGCTGAAACCCGACGTTTTGTTGTAAAGCACTGCCGCAAGATCTGGTAAGATGTAGGGGCCTCAAGATCTACGGTGCTTGCTATCGTGGGGTCCTAAACCCCGATCTGCTATGGTGGAATCCTAAACCCCTATCTATCTGCATTAAACAAGACCCTGTCGCTGCTACATGGTTTGTTCCTGTGCTCGACCCCAGCGTCCTTCAGCAAGGCCGGAATGGCCAGAAAGGGATTCGCGGGTAATGTAGGAACCTGTTTAAGCAACCTTGGGCCTTTATTAGGGTTCCTTATATTAATCCTACTATTTTGGGGTTATAGGCCCGGGTTTCTTAATCGGGTTCCTTCATTACATTCAGCCGTTCATGTCTGGAGCTATCTGTACATTCAACATGAATATCAGTCATGTGGCGTTTTGAGCCTCCTATGTGAAATCCTTACCCCCATTCAAGGCCGCAAAAAGCTCAAGCAAACCCAAACGAATGCCCCAGACCCTCAGATCCGAAACGAAACCTTAACCCTAAACCCTCAACCCTAAACCCAAAACCGAAACCCTAGCACCAAGTGTGCACAACTGCACGAGCCGGCCGTAAACAGAAATACCCTCATCCTCAAAGCCCTACAGGTTTCATCCCTCAGTCCTTTACTCGTCATAGCCATAGTACTAGCAATAATTATAGTATCGGTCACGGTGCCAGAAATAGCAATAGCAATCGTACTAGAAATTGTAACAGCAATAGCACAGTGGGAAGAATAGTTCTAGTAAAAAAAAGTAACAGCGGGAATAATGTCATCATATACCCTTAAACACAAGGCGGCAGAGCAGCTTGTGACGCTTCCTGGAATTCTTCCTGTCCTGGCGGTGGCCCGAGTTTCGGCTTTAGGGCTAGCAGGGCTTGTATTATTTACAGGGCTCATCGACGATCCATATTCGGAGAGCACTGCCACCACGGAAAGGAGACGCTTGACAGAATTCGCCTAAAGATGGTCAAGCCTCAAGAGCTGTAGCGGCTAATCTGGGTTCCAGGCTGGTTCGCACTGAAAGTTCAGTAGTGCTCTAAACCAAGTACCCTGAACTCGACCCCAAGAAAGGGACAACATCTTCTGCTCTTTCACCGCTTTGCAGATAGAACGGCAATCGGGACAAGCTCTAAATGTTCATGCAAAAGCCCCAATCCTGTCTGAAAACTTGACCCCACCAAGCTCTGACTACTACGATTAGATTATTACCATTATTGTCATAGTTACTAGTATTACGACTAAATTATTACCATTATTGTCATAGTTACTAGTATTACGATTAAATTATTACCATTATTGTCATAGTTACTAGTATTACGACTAAAGTATTACCGTTCTTGTCATAGTTACTAGTATTACGATTAAATTATTACCATTATTGTCATAGTTACTAGTATTACGATTAAATTATTACCATTATTGTCATAGTTACTAGCATTACGATTAACTTATTACCATTATTGTCATAGTTACTAGTATTACGAGTAAATTATTACAATTATTGTCATAGTTACTAGTAATACGATTAAATTGTTACCATTATTGTCATAGTTACTAGCATTACGATTAACTTATTACCATTATTGTCATAGTTACTAGTATTACGAGTAAATTATTACCATTATTGTCATAGTTACTAGCATCACGAGTAAATTATTACCATTATTGTCATAGTTACTAGTAATACGATTAAATTATTACCATTATTGTCATAGTTACTAGCATCACGAGTAAATTATTACCATTATTGTCATAGTTACCAGTATCACGATTGAACTAGTATCATTATTGTCATCGTTACTAGTATTACGATTAAATTATTACCATTATTGTCATAGTTACTAGTATTACGATTAAATTATTACCATTATTGTCATAGTTACTAGCATTACGATTAACTTATTACCATTATTGTCATAGTTACTAGTATTACGAGTAAATTATTACCATTATTGTCATAGTTACTAGCATTACGATTAACTTATTACCATTATTGTCATAGTTGCTAGTATTACGAGTAAATTATTACCATTATTGTCATAGTTACTAGTATCACGAGTAAATTATTACCATTATTGTCATAGTTACTAGTATTACGATCACGTGCCTCCGGCGCCGGCGAGAGCCGGTATGACGGCGACCGCCGCGCGCGGCGCGGCGGCGTGCCCGAGCGGCGCGGAGAGGCCGAGGAAGCCTGGAAGGCGAATTGATAAAGGGTTTTGGGTAATAAACGTAATACTAGTAACAATAGCAGAAATAGTACTAATAATCATACTAATAATAATAATACGCTTTTATGTGAGTTTGGTCAAGGCTTCAGAAGGGTTTCATAAAGTTTGTAGGGTGTATATATCAGGGCTTCAGAGAGGATTTGAGGGGGGTTTACAAGGTCGGTGGATTCAGCATACACATACACGCATGCATACTTACATACATGCGTACATATATATATATATATATATATATATATATGTGTGTGTGTGTGTGTGTGTGCATCTATAAGCGTGCTCATATATATATATATATATATATATATATATATGTACGTACATCTACATATACATATACATACGTGTGTATATATATATATATATATGTGTGTGTGTGTGTATATATATATATATATATTGTGCGCTTGTTTGTGCCCCTAGACCCGAAGGTCTAAACAGTCAAAACCCCCAACTTGAAAGCAGTGCTTAGAGTAGCCAGCCAGAAAGTCCCACCCTACACCGCTTGCCAAGTATCAGGCTGTGATGTGTCGCATCTTCTTTATGAAGGACGGCGCACCCTGAAAGAAACCCTACAGTCTGTTTTTAATTAAAAACAGACCCCAACAGCCCCAGCAAAAATGCTTGGAAGTCGTGGCCTCCGCCCGCCGAGTTCGCTCCCGCGGGGGCTTCGCCGGAATCCTCGCAGCAGAGGAGTCAAAGTCAGACGCTCGCTCTGTTCCGAGCTTGCACTACAGAAACCCTCAGGGTTTAGGGTTTTAGGGTTGAGGGCTTAGGGCTTTGTGCTTAGAGTTTAGGGTTTCGGGTTTAGGGCCAGGGAATTTGAGGATTGAAGGTTTCTCCTAGGATTTCTTGGATGTCTCCTCTACGGAGTTTGGGGATTTAAGATTTCTCTCCGTCACGGGTTGCAGGGCTACAGTTTCTACATTAAGGCTTCAAGGGCTTTAGGATCCGAGCTTTCTCCTCGAAGGATGCTACGGTTTGAGGTCGAATTTCTGCTTTCAGGCTGCTAGACTTGAGGGCCTCGGGCTCAAGCATCCGGGTTTTGGGGTTTAGGGTTTAAGGATTTAGGGTTTAGGGATCCGGGTTTTGGGGTTTAGAGCTTCCGAGCGTTCGCATCTTCGCTGGGTTGCTCCTTGTGGGCTCCCCAAGTTGTTCATGAATAAGCCAAAGAGAATTCGAAATTCTCCGGAACTGCAACCTTCTGTTTTACGATTCTAGCCCCTAAACCAATGGCTTTCGGAGCAGCTTCGAGCATGCGGCGAGGATCGCGGGTCCTCTTCTTTGCGCTCTGGGCGCTGGTGAGGTTGTGCCCTCGAACCCTAACCTCAAACCCCAGAACCTTACTCCCTAAACCCATAAACTAAACCCCAAAGTTCAAAACCCTAAACCCCACACCCTAAACCCCAAAACCCTAAACTCTGAACCCCAAAACCCTAAAAACCCTAAACCCCAAAACCCTAAACCCTAAACCCGTAAACCCCAAAAACCCTAAACTCTACACTTGCATCGTATCCCTCCTGGGTCTTGGTGGCCTAGGCTGCGGCCGAGCCTGCGCCGCCCCCTTCCTCAGTGTCAGCCGCTTCGAAGACGCTGGGCTTAGTAGGGTTCAGGGTTTAGGAGGGTTCAGGTCTAGGGTTAAGGGTTTAGGGTTCGGGGTTAATAGTTTAGGGGGCTAAGGTTCGCACAAGCTTCACTGTTAAGGCTTGGGGGGCTGATACTTTAGCTGTTTGCAGGAACCCTAAGACGTAGTACTGCTAATCATTCAGGCTTCTATGATGTTGAAGCTGCTGCCTCGAGAGGGCTTGAAGGGTTAATGAAGGTCTCCATAGGGTTTGAAACGAAACGGTGGAGGCTGTTGTCGGATTTCTTTAGCTCGGGGGCTTCATGCCGTAGTAGTCGTTCAGCTTGGGGGGATCGTGGGGCTCCGGGCTTTGAGGACTGGTGCTTCTGTGGTTTATCTCCCGGTTTTCGGCCCCGAAGACAATCGGAGTAGAGGGCTTAGGGTTTAGAGCTTGGGGTTTTAAAGCTAAGGGCCTCCTAAAACTGATCTGAAAGGAGGGCTATGTAGGGCTGCATGATACCTGTGATCGTTCAGAGAGGATGAGGTAAAATCTCAAGCCCGCAAAACCTCAACCTTAAACCTTTCTTGCAGCGAAGGCACTGGCGGAAGTCCCGGAGGAAGTCCACGAAAGTCAGGAGGTCCTCCAGCGGCTGTCAGGGCTTGGGTTTCATGCCTTCAGCCGCAATCCTAAACCCAAAAGCCTTAACCTCCGATATCCCCGAAAAACCCTCAATGCCCGAAGTTCAGCCGGCTCTATACAACCCAACTTATAACTACCCATGAACCTCCAAGTCACCCCAAAACCATGAAACCCTGAAGGGAGCAGAAGCTATATCCAAGCCCGAGTCCCACCAAGAAGACTACCGCCCTGAACGCGAACACTGCCACATCACCGAATCCAAAATAAAACGATTACATTCAATGCCCCCAATCATAGGGATCCTTAGGGGTGTAGGGGGGAGGGGTGTAGGGGACTATATTTCCTTAAATAGGCCTTATTAGTCCTTATTATGGGCCTTAAGGCCCCCTACCCCCCCTCCCCCTACACCCCTAAGGATCCCTATGACCCAACGTTCCGGAAGCTGAAAGGGGATCTAAGGACAACATAAGCCTACGGAGTTCACAATGAGGTTTCTGGAATTCCCCCCCCCCCTTCCTAATGCCCGTCCACACCCCGGCGCGCTCCCATCCTCCAGAGCGAAGTAGGCCCGAAAAGCCCTGCGTGCATCCTGGAAGGGAAATTGGGGATGGGCTGGGTTCAGGCTTTGAAGGTTTAGGGTTTAGGGATAAAGGGTTTAGGGTTGGGGCTTAAGGGTTTGAAGGTTTGGGGTTTAGGGTTGGGGCTTAAGGGTTTGAAGGTTTGGGGTTTAGGGTGGTGTAGAGTTCAGGCCTTGCACCATCTAAGTAAGGCCGAGATTTGGTGTGCGGAAGGTTTGCGTGCGGCCTCCTCAGCAGGCTGGTATTCGTACACTTTCGATTCAAGGCATGTGAATGCTGACTCAACAACACCACCCTCTTAGTTCGAGGGTCGCGGCAGCGCATAGTCGGTGATGGGTGGTGGGTGGTGGCCGTCGTCATGGTCGTCGGTCGTCGCAGAAGAAGAGGAAGACAAGGATGAAATACCGACAAGTTGCAGCGGTAGCCACATGAGGCAGCAGCAAAAGAAGGAGCAACCCCAACCGAGATCCTGGAAATTTCCGTCGGTCCAAACACAAAGCCCTCGTGTCCAGACCCTCAGCCCAAACGTCTAAGCCTTCAAGCTCTCAAGCCCCGGACCATCACCCACAACTTACCTTTGGTAAGTAGGGAATGGAGGGATGGGGTATATTCTAACCACTATTAATACCATTCTTCCATTCCCTACTAACCAAAGGTAAGCAAAGCCCCAAACTTATATGGGGGTTTCCGAACATCCTAAACATTCCCTACTAACCAAAGGTAAGTTATAGGATTATTAAGGCTCCTATATTATAGTACCCTTATAGATCCCTTATAGTAACCATTCCCTACTAACCAAAGGTAAGACAAAAGCAGCGAGCAACACAGCCCCGGAGCCTGGAGGGTCTTCTTTGGCACCGCCGATCGCTTCCTGAGTTGTCCTTTAAGCCCTTTGAAAATTATTTACTATTATGGTTCTCTACAAAATAATAGGGGAAATTAAAAAAGATCCCAAAGGACAACCCAGCTTCCTTGGTTTCGAACTTCAGCGCTTAGGGCGCCCGCGGTTGCGGCTTGGTCTCTTAAAGGGCTTGGGCCTTCGGGTAGAGGGCTTCCCTCCATTCTGGGCCCTTTGGTTTGGGGATGCTGGCTGAAATCCCTTTCTGGGTTTTTAAAGCGCTAGGCTCTTCAATTCTGGCCTGCCCTCTTTCACAGGAGCGGTGGATTCGTGGCTGGGGGGATGTTGGTTTGGGTTTAGAATTTGGGGTTCATGGGTCATAGACCCCAAACCCCACAAACCCCCCCCAAACCCCTGAATCTCAAACCCTGAACCCTAAACACCTCCGTCAATCCAAAAGGCATGGACGGCAAGGGCGCCGCGCTCCCCCAGCGCACGTGGGCGAAAGGCGCCTTGAGAGCAGTTCCATCGGGTCCTAGGCCCTGGACTTACGTTTTTTTTTAAGGTGCCATGGCGTCTTTGGACTCACGGTTTAGGATTTTGGGTTTGAGGTTTAAGGCTTTCAGGATTTGGGGTTTAGGGTTTAGGGGTGCAGGGTTTGGGGCTTAGGGTAATAACCGGGCTCAAGAAAGTTCAAACTTCCTAAGATAGACCACATGTTTAAGGCCAGCACGTTTAAAGTTCTCGCACTGGGATGTACAAGTCTTGGGGCAGTGGGGCTCCGTGCACGGACTTGCATAGGCGACTACTGGCCTTCACCGGTATGAACTGGAGGCTCCAAGAGGAATCGCAGGTGTAGGGTATAGGGTTAGGTATAGGGTATGCAGGGTATAGGCTTTTGGGCTGAGGATTTCGGGCTCAGGGTATAGGGTTTAGGGCTGACGGTTCAGGGCTTACGGTTTAGGGTTCGGGGCCGCGCTCCGAGCTGCGACCTTCTCTCGGACTGTTTCGACTGAAGGCGCCAGAGCCCTGAAGCCTTTCACCTAAAACTCTCAAACTTTATCCCGTAAGCTCTCAGTCGCCCTAAAACCCTTGAATCAAACCTTTAATGGGCGGCTCGGTGGGACTGTTCTTGCTAACCAATCAGACTCAAGGCAAGAGGAATCCCTGCAAAAAGCCTGGGGTATGGGAGCGGTTATAGGGTTTTGATTAAGGGTTTAGGGCTCGCGTCTTTAAGGGTTTAGGGTCTAGGGAAGAGAAGCATTTGGGGTTAATTCAGGGTTTGGGGACATAAGGTTTCTCGGGCTTATAGGGCTTTAGGACTTGCTGATTTGGGGTGGGGTTTGGGGTTTAGGGATGAGGGATCGAGGCAACAGGCCTTGCTGCCGGAAGCGGCGTCTCCTCTCAATTATGCAAAGGAAGGGAAACTCAGCAAAGGACCCGGGCCCTTTAAGGTACAGGTGTTTGCTGCTGTTCGGCCATTGCTCATGTTAGATCGCGTTGGTGACTCTGCCATAAAACCGACAGGGCAAAACCTGATACTCCCAAGCACCAGCATCAACAAACTCGATCACCAACCCTGAAACATGAAACCCCCAACACCTCTTCTCCGCCCACACACCCGTTTCTGCCGGGAGGCTGCAGGACATAAGGAGGACTTCGCTTAGACTAAGGGTTCGAGGACTTGCTGCTTCCATGCTTCACGGCTTTCGGTGGTTAACCTTTTTGTGAATGCAATAGCCCCCTTTCTACAAAGACAGCTTGCTCAGTCTGAGGGCTTGGGCTTGGGGCTTAGGGTTTCGGATGCCTGCAACCACCGGGGGTCCCAAGCTTGCGAGGATCATCACCTTAAGAAATTGCACGACTCACCCTCTAAAAGTGGGGGTTCCACTTCTGGAAGCTCGTTCTCAGTAGGGTCCCTTTAAAGGGGCAGCAAATTTCTAACATTGCAACCGGCATTGTACCGCCAAGAGAACCTTAATCCCTTCAGAACATGAAATCAAGTGGGTTCAAGCGCGCTGAACTTTAAACCCTTGTCCTTCCGCCGGGGAGGCAAAGAAGTCGAGAAACTCCGGGAGATCACGAACGGCCTCGAACCTTGCGACTTCAAGCCATCCTACTCTCTGGCTGAAGGCTGCAGAAGCCTTCGGAATGATTTCGGAATTCCGGTTGGAAAGCTTCGTGGTTTTTGGTGCTTCGGGCTTTAGGGTCCGGGCAGACCAAGCCAAATGGGGTACTCACCTGGGGGCATGGTTCGATGCTCAGCTCTCTTTGCTGAGACTCTCACAGACCGAAACCCTGGAGCCACGAGCTTTGTATCCTAATCCTACGACATCGTCTTACATACTATAAACCGTGGTCGCGACAAAGAGAGAATACGAAAGATAGGTTATTTGGCCATGGTATGTATGCAAACAGCCCTAAATCCTCGACCTTAAAGCCCTTTTAGGAACCCGCATAGTAACTTCTTTATGGTGGAAGCCTTCCAGAACCCTTACAGTAGCCCGAAACCACAAGGTGCATCGAAGCGGCTTCTCTTCCTTGGGCTCAACGACACGGAGCCCGCGGGCCTTCCGGAGGGCTTAGGGCTTGGGGATTGGGGTTTAGGGTTTAGGGTTCAGGGCTTATGGAGTTTAGGGTTTAAGGGTTGGGGCTTAGGGGCGTAGAGTTTAGGGGTTAGGGCTTAGGGGCTTGGTTAATCACTCGGGCTCAGTTATAGGATTGAGAGTTCAGGGGTTAGGGTTGGGAGTTCAGCGATAGGGTCGAGGGTGTAGCGCTTCGGCCTCGTCCAGGGTTTGCGGTATTGTTCCTTTCCCAAAACCCTACGCCCGAAACTCCGAACGCCGGAAATCCAAAACCTCTGGATTCCTAAAGCCTAATTAATCCCCAAAACATCCCCAAGCCCCAAATAAACAAAAAAAACACACAAATCCATAAGCCCGAAACCCAAGAAAACTGCCCAGCACCACGGAAATGAAAGGCCAACCTTCAGAACTTTTGTATTTCATTGCACCCGCAAACTTTGGGCTTACGGTATGGATGTCATATGATCCACCCCCATACCCAATTCCAATGATTCAGGTCCTCTATGAAGCCACTCTATGAAGCCTTTTGCGAACCTCGTAAACGCCCTTGTAGGTCCCTCTTCTACTGTACGTATTCAGGCCCCTACTGCTGATGGACAAAATCCTGCCTTACCCATTATAAGGAATATACCATAGTTCCTATAGTTTAACGTCCTCAGGGTCATGCAGGATTTTGTCCATCAACAGTATTCAAGCCTACAAGAACCCTGTTGTGCCATCGTAGCTCCCCAGAGGACCAGGGGCCAGCAGCAGATCACGACGAGAACACCAGTCAAAGGGGAAAAGGAGGGACCCTTCATGGGGACCCCTACCCTAGAATGGGCTATATAATGGGTATATATTAGCTATATTAATGGTATATACCTAGGGGTCCTTATTAAGGGTTCCTCCTTTTACCCTTGGAACCAGTATAGGGATCCAGAAATGCTTCCTCGCACGTACTCGCGGGATTCAGGACCACGACCAAAACGGTTCGCCCTGCCAGTGCTGCACTGGCGGGATACACAGACATGACCATTAACAGTCCTTCCATGTACACGTCAAAATGCGGCGAATACATGCTCAAGATACAGTGAATCGCGCTTTCCGGAAAATGCACGCACGGATCGGGGGAAAAAATATGGGACAAAGTGCACTTCACCGGCGTGGTAGTTAGTGGAACGTTTCATTTTGCCTTGGGCGCGCCTCGCAGGAACACTAACCAAGTCTCTTGACATTGAACGTCGGAATCCTCCTGCGTACCACACTGACGGGGCAATAAGTACTTGACAAAACCCCTAACCACAAAAAATGCGCACAAAAGGTCCTGTGTCAGAACCCTAAGCGCAACCCTCAAAGGAGCCGTTACAGGAACCCCGAAAGGAACCCCTGAAGAACGCCTTTATGGAACCCCGTATCTAGAGGAACCCGGAGAATCCCTCAAGAAACGTATCCCTGCCTTCTTCCCCAGACCCACCAAATCAGAGATGCTTGGGCCAGTGGCAGAAGATCCGGTGGCCTCGGCTTCGGGGGGTCGATCTACTGCCTGTCCTTCTCAAGGTTCTAGACCGATGATTTCTGTTCTCTGTTGATGATACTAAGTTTCTGTGGTCTACTGCCTTTTTTGAAGGGTTCCATACCATCATTTCTGTTCCTTGTTGATGATACTATGCTCTTGTTGTGCTTTGACCCCCCTCTCGTTCCATACGGGCTCTATATACGGGTTCGGTGCCAGCGCCTCTTTATTGAAAGGGTCCTCCTAACCATGGGTTCCATGGTTTTGAAGAGAGTTGTTGTTGTTGTTGTTGCAGATGCTAGTGTTGCTGTTGAGGCTAAAGTTGTTGTTGTGGTGTTTGTCGTTTTTATTGCTATTGTGACGGTCCAAGCAGCTGTTGTGGTTGTGATGGTTGTTATGACCCTACTATGCATGGCTGTTACTGGAAAATTGCCTTGCTCATGTTGTAGTGTTATGTTTATCTGATTATCGCTACTGTTTTAGCAACAGCAGCAGCAGCTGCAGTATGAAAGGGAGCAGCAGCAGCCGTACCCCTATTTGCGAAGGGATCCTCCCTCAGTATCTTGAAAGACGCTGGCACCAGCTGGTTTGGACATGTAAGTCGTTGGGGTGTTTGGGTTTAGGGGCTTAGGTTACGCTGAACCGCTCCTTCTATGTTTACGCCAGCATTGCTCCCCGTTGTTGAGATCGGACATCCCTTTTCCTAAACCTCATGACCAATCCCGGTACCTCGAACCCCAACCCCCCTAGGCCTGAACCCTGAACTGGGAACACCACAGTCTCGTACCGAAACCCCTCGCAGTTCCCCTAGCCGCCACAAGCCGACACCCAAAGCCCCTTAACCCTGAACGCCCCAAATCGCCAAAAGCCCTTATTTACGGATTGGTACAGCAACAGAAGCTGCAGCAACAACAACAACAATGGTGGAAAACAAGTCAGGCAAAAAAAAAAAAAAAAAAAAAACGAAAACAAACATGTCAAACAGCAACAGTAATGATGATATCACCGTTGATATTCATGGAGGCAAGAATGACAGTGTCAGTGATACCGCGTGGACTGACCCCTTCAGGTGCAAAAACGCCTCAAATATAAATCAAACTGTTCTGTACAAGCCACATGTATAAGCTAAGAAAGATTAAAAGTTCTTCTGGTAGGTGACTACGCAAGGAACGGCACTTAAGGCAGAGAAACAGGCTTGTAGATAAGATAAACTAAAAGCAGTGCAATGAAAATGACAGCTCGATAAGCATAACAACATCTTTGGCGTTCGCCTTGATACGCCTTTGTAAAAGCATCCCTGTTACCACCATCTGTGCAGTTGGTAACATCATTCGATGATTGTTCTTACAGGACCGAACCAAGTGGCGTAGGCTCGAAGCCGGTCTGCGGCGTTCATGAGCCAATCTGGCTGTGAGAAGATCTGTACCAACAGCTGGTCCTCCGGGGGGTGGGGGCCCCAAATGTTCAACACCAAACCGTGACTTGCAGGCCGTGGCTTTTCTGGGGTCATGGACTTCCTGCTTCATTTCACAATCTAGGATACCCAGTAACCTAAGAATAAAAAGGCCTCTCTTTTTGGTATTGGGTAACTTTATAAGGAACCTAGGACTACAAAAAGGGAATAAGGGTACTACTGGGCATCCTAGCAATTGATGTTAGTGCTCTCAGAGTCGTTGGGATGGCGGCGTTGCGGCCATTGCGGAGGCTCACAACACCCCAAGTCGAAGCCCGATAGCCCCAAATGCGAGTCTACCCTCCGGAACCCAGACTCAAACCAAACGCCTCTTACCTATACTATTTTGGGGGGTTCCTTATTATAATTCTAGTATAATGGGCCCCAAAACCCTATTCTAATTATATGAACAAACCAAGCGGATGCTAAGCCGGTCCTGCGCATCCGGCTGCGCCCAAATGAAGCACCCGCTGCCTCAACTTCGTGGCTTGGAGCTTTCATTATAGGGTTTAGGGTTTAGGGTGCAGGGTTTAGGGTTTTAGGGTTTAGGGCTTAGGCTTTAGGGTGTAGGGTTTTGGCTTAAGGCTTCAAATTTCGAGATCCAAGGCGGCAAGCACTGGCTCTAAACCCCTAAGCCTTCAACCCCAAGACCCTACTTGGAGGATCATGGGACTTAGTAAGTCAGGTTATAAGTACCTTAAGTGGGCTTACAATTGCTGATGAGTATAGTTACCTTGTTTACAACCCCAGTTACTAAGCCCCATGATTAAGTAAGGCTGAGCCCCTGAACACTGAATCTCGAGGCAGCTCCCGCGCCTTCGCTGCCGGCACTTAAACCCGCATGCGGGCCAAATGAAGCAGGTTTAGGGTTTAGGGTGTAGGGTTTGGGGTTTACGGTTTAGGAAAGTTTAGGGTTTAGGGTTTAGAGCTTTAGGCTTCAAGGTTTAGGGTTGAGGGGTTTAGAGTTTTAAGGTTTTAGATTGAGGGGTTTAGGGTTATGTTGCAAGCGGCACCTCGAAGGGAACCCAGTGGATGGAACCGGATGCCTTCCGGAGCCCCCTGGGAAGACTGCTCAAGCCGTAGCAAGACCGCAGAAGCCGTAAACCTCAGACACTGCACCCCAACCTCCCCCAAATCTTGTGTCCCTATGCGTACGATGTTTCAATAACTCCGAGTTGGGTCCAAAGCAGGAAGGAAAGAAAAAAGGATTCCTTTTATGCGCTTCCTTCTTACGACAGTAAGAAACCCTAAACCCTAAACCCTAAACCCTAAACCCTAAACCCTAAACCCTAAACCCCAAACCACAACAGGGGCCACGCATCCCCAAGATTGACCCAGCAAACCTGTCCCGAAGCCCTGGAGTCCCCTGAACCAAGCTTTAGTTCTGAACCCCAAACTCTAAAAATCCCAAACTCTGAAAATCCCAAACACTGAACCCCAAACTCGAAAAAAATCCCAAACTCTGAACCCTAAACCCAGAACCCTAAACCCTGAAGCCCCAAACTCTAAAACTCCCAAACTCTAAAAAAATCCCAAACTCAGCAAATCCCAAACTCTAAAAACCCCTACACCCTCAATTCTAAAGCCTGAACAACCCGTATTTCCGGACACCTCGACTCTGAGCGATCGCCTCCAAGATGTCGCCAGCTCTCGAAGCCCAGTCCTCTGAAAGCCCAGAGACTCCAATATCCCTTAATTAGGGAATACCTAGGGTCCCTTCAAAAAATCTACAAGGGATCTATAGGGTTTAGGGTTTAGGGGACTCCTATATTCCCTAATTAGGGAATATACCTTAGATCCATATTAAGGATCCTACTATAATTTAAGGTATGTTCCTTAATTAAGGGATATTGGAGTCCTCTCAAAGGGCCGGGCTTCGAAAGTCTTCCTTTTATTAGGGATGCAGGGTTTCTCCAAGGGCTCCATTAAGGGTTCTATAAAGGTTCATAGGGTCTAGGAGTTTAGGGTTTAGGGGTCAGGGGTTTAGGGTTTAGGGTTTGTTTCAAAAAAATCATGGGTTAAGTGTTTAGGATTCGGGGTGGGGTTTAGGGTTTCGGTGGGGTTTGGGGCTGCTTCAGGAGTGTCTCTATGGCTTTACGTCTGTGGGGTTAGGGATTTGGGAGCTATCGGTTTGCGACTTGACTGAATGCTTAAGGATTTCGGGTGTCAGCGTCGGGTTTCAGAATAGTAACTTATGATTTCTTGGGGGTGGGTTCTGCGCAGTCTAAACCCTAAACCCTAAACCCTTTTGATTTCTTTGGGGGGTGGTTCTGGACAGTATACGATGAAGTTGGCATACTTCCCAGTGACAATGATGAGCTCAGGCAAGCCGGACCCCGGCCCTAAACATTAAAACTCCGCCAAAAAGCTAGGGTGTAGAGACGGAACCGTCATTCCAAACCCTGCACATCAAATAAGAGAACTGAGGCCAGGGATCAAGCCACTCCCTGCAATTCAACCTAAGGGCTACGCCTCCCCTTCACCCTTCAACCCAACATGTCGCAGCGTCAATCTTGCTCTGCCTTGTCTGCTCCTTCTCATCAGTCTTGTTCTGCTCCTACTTCGAAATGATGCCTGCGTTGAACGTCACTCCTCCTTCTCCTCCTCCTCCTCCTGCTCCTCCTGCTCCTCTTGCTCCTCCTGCTCCTCCTGCTCCTCCTGCTCCTCCTGCTCCTCCTGCTCCTCCTGCTCCTCCTGCTCCTCCTGCCCCTCCTGCCCTCCTGCTCCTCCTGCTCCTCCTGCTCCTCCTGCTCCTCCTGCTCCTCCTGCTTCTCCTGCTCCTCCTGCCCTCCTGCTCCTCCTGCTCCTCCTGCTCCTCCTGCCTCCTCGTCAGAGGAGGCAGTAAGGAGATTACAGCAGCCATCACAATAGTGAGCCCAACCTCGAAAAGGATTGGCAAACCTTGCATCCCTCCCGTCCTTGCAAGCCCCGCCAACTTGAGTCAGAACCACCTGACCATGCGGGGTTTAAGGCTTTAACCTTGGGATTCCAGCGTTGAGTCTGCATCACAATTCCCTGGCAGCTATCTGCGTACGCTCTAAACAGCGTCTCGGGTTGAGTGTCGAGGGGTTTGGGCTGTAGGCCTGGCAGTTTAGAGGAAACGGCTGAGGGGCAAGGATCTGAGACCCTTGTTTCTAAGTCGAGGGCGCGACATTTTTGGATTTTTGTATGGGGACTTTGGATTCGAGACTGCACGGTGGGGAAAGAGTCCTTCGGACTTAATTAAACTCAGGATCGAGGGTTTGAGTTAGGCTTTGGCACGAGCCTCAAGCCCCTAACGGCGCCCTACGACGCCCTACTGTTGATGATATAAACTCTGCTTTACCTGGACCCCAAAAGTATGTAGAATAATGGCCTTTTATAGGTATCGGGCCATTGTTTCACCTACTTTTGGGGGTCTAGGTACCCATGATGAGGAATATACCATTATTCGACCGTAGGGCCTCCATGCCGAAGACGAAGCTGGGCATGGCCCGCAAGGCGTGGCGAACGTCCAAAGACCTGCAGGTCACCTACATGACTACTATCATTAAAACCGAGTACCTAATTATTGGGTCCTTTGGACCCTTAGGGTATTATAAGGACCCCCAAAATGAGGTGCCCAGAGACTCCAATATCCCTTAATTCAGGAATACCTAGGGTTCCTTTAAGGGATCTACAAGGGATCTATAGGGGATCTATAGGCTTTAGGGTTTAGGGGACTCCGATATCCCTTAATTAAGGAATATACCTTAAATCATATAAGGGACCCTACCATAATTTTAGGAATATTCCTTAATTCAGGGATGTTGGAGTCTCTAGGCGTGAGATGACGGGGGTTCCATGCGTTTAGGGTTTAGGCTCTATGGGTTTAGGGGATTAGGGCTTCGGGTGGGTTTAGGGTTTAGGGTGGGTATAGGGTTTAGGGCCGTTTGGGGCTTAGGGTGGGTTTAGGGTTTAGGGTGGGATTTGGGTTCAGGGGATTAGGGTTTAGGGTGGGTATAGGGTTTAGGGCCGTTTAGGGCTTAGGGTGGGTTTAGGGTTTAGGGTGGGATTTGGGTTCAGGGGATTAGGGTTTAGGGTTTAGGGTGGGCTTAGGCTTTAGGAAATTAGATTTCAGGGTTTAGGGTTCTACGGTTTCTTTCGACGGGGTCCATAAGGGGCTTTATAGGTTTCTGTAGACGGGTCCTTTCAAAAGGTTACAGCGGCATTCAAAGGGGGGCAGGAGGTTTCTACGTTGGTATCAGGGTACCCCTTAAGAGGTCACAGCGGCATTGAGGCGGGTGCTACGGTTGATGATATGAATCCTGCATTACCCATAATAAGGAGTATACCACAATTCCCTTCATTTAGGGTCCTTAAGGTAATGCAGGGTTCATATCATCAACCGTAGGGCTTTAAGGTCTGGGTGGGGGAGATCGGTAGTTGGAAAGCCTGAGTTCACACCGACCCATATAGCAGCTTAGGGCCCTAGAACTTAAACAAGAACCTTACGACAACTCTAAGCCACAGATGTAAAAGGTTACACTTCCCGAATCCTACTAAACTAAAAGAACCCAAAACGACTTTAAACTAAACTATAAGAACCCAAAAAGACTTTAAACTAAACTATAAGAACACAAGAAAACTTTAAACTAAACTATAAGAACCCCAAAAAACTTTAAAGGTTAGGGATTGGGGATCTAGGGGAATGCTGTGACTCCCAAATCCTAAGCCCGACACCCCCCCGTCAAATCCCAAGTCCGAGTCCGAGCCCCTTATCCATAAACCCGACATATCCCTTAATTGAGGAATATACCTTATATCATATCAGGGATCCTACTATAAAGTTAAGGTAAATTATCCCTAAACCCTACAACCCCAAATCTCTAGACTGGGTTCCTGAGCAGCCCCTTTATAGTAAGGGTGCCGTTTTCCTACTATTCTGTTTAATACGGGGCCCCGCCAAAGGGTACTACTCAGGAACCTAGTAGAAGCCAGAAGCCCCAAACCAAAACCCTCGCCAGGCTTTGGGACGTCCGCGCTGCAGTCTTCAGCCAAGAACCGACAGGTCATGCAGCGGACCTGGTCCTGAGAGAGGCTTCGGATATTGGGGCTTAGGGTTTTTTCGGGGTTCTTAGGGTTTGCGGTTTATGGTTCAGGGTTTTGGGTTGGTTTTTTTTTTTTTAAGCGCCCCTTCGAGGGGTTTAGGGTTTAGGGTAGTTCTCGAAATAAGGGTCCCTTTCAGGGTCCTTTTGTCAAGGTGCCAATGACTGGGACCACGACTGCGACGACGGCTTGCGACCTGGACTCCGACTGCGACTGCGACGACCACGACTACGACGACCACGACGGCTGCTACTACCATCACTACTGCAGTTTCTTGTTCTTTCTCCCAATGCAGCATTGCTACGCTTGCTGATGGGTAGTTGTCAAAATTAAGGTCCCTTTTTGGGTACCCTACATAATAGGTGCCGTAGTATAATAGGTACCCAAAAAGGGACCCTAATTTTGACAACCACCCAAATATGCCGAGACGAGGGTCGTGGCCCTCGCGGTCCAAGTTGTCGCTGAGAGCCCTCCGCCAGTCAAATCCGGAGAGGAGCTCCGCAAGAAGCTTCCGAGGATGCACTAGTGCGATGTTCCCCTCCTCCGGAACCTAGGTTTAGAGTTTGCTACTTCCGGTTGTGGGCTTTAGGTTGCACAGTTTCGTTTAGGTTTCAGGGTTTTATGACTCAGGCTTTGGGGGCTTTGAGCGTTTCAGGGACTACGGCTGAAGCACTGCTTGAGGGGTTGAGGGTTAAGGGTTTGAGGGTGAGTTCTGCCAGAAATCATAGGGACCCTTAGAGGGGTAAGGGGGAGCGGAGTATGGGCCTATACTTCCTACAAAATTAAGGGGGAGCGGAGTAGGGGACTATGCTTCCTTAGATAGGCCTTATGAGGTCCTTTTTATGGACATTCAAGCCCCCCTACCCCCCTAAAGGTCCCCAGGAAAGCAAGAAAAAGCAAACCGTTCCGGTGCCCGCACGAAAAAAACTCGAGGAAGAGCCGGCTTACTGCTTTCGCTTAGGGTTCTTCCCATAGGGGTTCCTTTAAAGGGTAGCTACTATGGGCTCTATAACAGGGCTCCCTTTAAGGGTACTGTAGGGGCTCTACAAATAAGGTTCCCTTTAAGGGTATGCTTTCACTTCCAGGATCAGCGGGCTTATTGAGTAGGGCATATTACAGTGCATAAGTATAGGGGCCCAAAAAAGCACATAGGCAAAAATTAGGATAGCGATATCCCATATAAACCCCCTTTTAATGAAGCCCAATAAGGTAGGGATATCCCCATAAAATGCTTATGCTTATGTGCTTTTTTGGCCCCTAGAGTAAGGGGACTACTCTGGGAGTTCGGCAGAGGTCAAGTTAAGGTCCGTTTTTCAGCACACTTACGAAAGTCCCAGACGCATCAAGAATTCAGAACTCATCAAGCTAGGCAAGAAGGTATTTGACGTCTTCCATTCTTGTGAAATCTGACACTGGAAGTCAGCATAGCCAACCTTAGCCCTAAAACCCAAACCCTAAGCCCCAGCGTTAAATCCTGCACCATCTTCCCTCGACGAGACTCCCAACCCTCATGCAGAGGCGGCCTCCAGGATTACCAGTAGGACGTAAGACGTACGATCGAACGGACTGTTCCTATTTGCGAGCCTCTAAAATCTAACGAAGGGTAGATGGCATGCGAGTAAGTTAGAACACAAGTACCTGAACTTTGGGAAAAGCAAGGGAAGTCGATTTTATAATGATGGGGACCCCAAACCCTAAACCTACATATTATATACCCTTGATGCCAGGCCGTAGTCTAACGCCTCAACCCCAACGAACAAGCCCAAACGTACCAACCCGCAAGGGTGCAGGAGTTTAGGGGTTTAGGAGCTTAGGGTCTCGAGACCTGCAACCCTAAAGGCTAAACATGAGGACCTGAATCCGGAAGCCTCAAGACAATAAGCTGCTCAAAAACCGAATACAGGGGCCCGAAATAAGGTTTGGGGGGGCCCATCACACTATATTTATAATAAGGAACCCCCCGAAATAGTATTGGCAATTTTCTAGGCCCCTAAAGTAAGCCCCTAAAGCGGAAGCCTCTGCCCTGACACCTGAGCCATAAACCGTAAACTCGCAACGGCAAAGCCTCGAGCCGGGCGACTTTGTCCCGGTACTTCTCAAGAACCTGCGCAGAGGTCACATCAATAGCAGGGAATGGGGAAATGGGTTGTAAGGACTACTTTCAGGGACCCTGAGGGGACTATCATAGGGATCCAACCCCCCATGCCGTCCTAAGCACCAGACATAAAAGCTCAACTTAAGCTTCAGGATCCTTGACCCCTAAACCCTAAACCTCAAACCCTGGCTTTGATCTTAAAGGGGTGACGTCCTTCAAGGTCCCAAGCTCGAGAACCCTGGACCGGAGTATAGGGACCTTTGTTTGATCCTAGGCTGATCACTCCTACTCCTAGGGTTTAGAGTTTAGGGGACTCCTCAACCTGACTCCTGTTCGAAGTGTCATTCTTATGCTGGCGGGAGTTGGATCAGGAGTTCGCACGAGTTCTGAAGCTCTTGGTATCTTAGATTGCTTCACATGGCTCTGCCATGGCTCTTAGGGTTATAGGGCGTGGGGGGTTGCCTCAGTTAAAGGGCTTTGCAAGTTCGGGCGCTTGGGGATTCAGTTCAACTCTCTCGAGGCCGTCAGTGCGGCCCCATCTCAGGACGGCTTCGGGCATCTAACACCCGGTTTAGGGTTTAGGGTTTAGGGTTTAGGGTTTAGGGTTTAGGGTTTAGGGTTTAGGGTATCCCAAACTAAGCACCACAACAAACCGGCACCAAAAACATTCTCAACCCGGATGGCTCAGGCCGCAGCCTGAATACGGCCCTGTGAAACCTTGCAACCTCAAGCAAAACCAAACAAGTGCTCTGCAGACAGCAACAAAAGTGGACAATCATCAGACACTAATGGTCACTAATGAAAAAGAGGCGCTGGAAGATATCAAAACGCCGGCGGCTACCCTCCTGATACTTACTGTGCCGGCATCCAGGTTTACATTGAACAAAGCCAACGGAGATTTTGCAATCTGGCATTGCTAGTAAGAAGACCCTATAAAAAAATGCTCCGGCACGTACAAGATGCCTGTGAATGCCAACCCTAATTTGTGAACCCGACAGACACCGTAGCCTTCTTGTCCGTTTCGGCCATGACTTTCCGCAGGCGTTGCAGCCTGTCGTCTGCTTTGTCTGCGATCCGATCTTCGATATCCAACCTGGGCGACAGTCTCGCTGTAGCACTGTGGAATGCAGACTTTGCCGAGACCTGCGCCTACACCCTACCGACCCTTGTATGAGAGCTGCAAAAGAGAAGCCACCCCGATTCCAATATACACGCGGAACCGAAGGAATCTTAGCATATGGACCTGCCTCTGGTTCAAGAACGGCTCAGTGAACCGTCAAAGGAATCTCCGGGCCGCCTTGTGCGGTTACCGATGTAGTACACCCCATGAGCATGAAATATGCAAGGAACCCACAGGAATCAACAAATAACACAATGCACTGCAATTGTGCAACACGGCCTCAAATATACATATATATATATATATATCATTCAGGACCGCTTTAGGACGTGCGGTACTTTGCTACTTAAAGGGTTCCGCGGGTGCTTCTAACCTGCGAAACTCTCTCCACCAGGCGAAGAGGCTCTATCTCGAAGTCCACGGCCGCGGCCACGACTGCGCCGGCACGGTCACGCTCCGGGGAGGACCTCGGAGGGGTTTGACGGGTAGCTCCTAGTATTGTTTACGATCCTCTTTCCACAACCAGATCGTGATCACCCTCGATACTTGTTATCTTCTTGTCCATGACCCCATTTTCCTTCTTCTAGCCCTGTCAGCAATACAACTATGCTTGTCTTCTTATTAGTTAGTATGTGGTCTTAGCGCCTCTGGCTTTGTGTTCAACACATCTACACGAGGCTGGATTTAAGGCTTAAGAGACTCGGCATTCACGATGCTTGGGCCGAAGCTTGCGAGGCTTACAAACTTCCGGCTTAAACTGCGAATCCAAAACATCGACAGGTCGGGGTGCGGGGGTCGGGCACATCGTTGATAAGTCTTCGGTTCAAGCTTCCTGAACCCGAGGATCCCGGAATCCTGCCGGAGGCCCCGGCGTGAGGGAGAACTGGATGCGGCCCTTCAGAAACGCCTGTAACTTCGCGTCCGCCTTGACGGGAGCTTCACAAGATTCCCGAAGGGTTACTCTATGGTTACCACAAGGGTTGCAATGACGGTTGTGATGCAGGGATACCATAAGGGGTTAGTGTAAGAGTGACTACGCAAGGGGACCTACAAGGGTTGCTTTCATCTTCCTTAAATTATGGTAGGATCCCTCATATGATTTAAGGTATATTCCTTGATTAAGGGATATTGGAGTCTCTGGGAAGGTTTTTTGAAGGGTTTAAGGGCTTCTGGGGATCACAGTTTCAAATGCGGCTAGCCGCTGGGCATAACCAGTCTTTAAAAACCTTAGCCAAACCAAGCCAAAAATCCCATAACAAAGGCCTTGAAGCCATACACCCTGAAACCTTGAAACCCTGAAACCTTGCATCCCCAAACCTAAACCCTCAATCCGTGAAACCCACAGAGAGGAACTGGAACGATTCAAAAACTTGACCAATCCAAAACAAGCTCTGTAGACGAACCTGCAACTGCAATCGGACCCTTAAACCCATCAAAAAAAAGAATAGAGCCCCGTCAATGTGATTAAAGCCAAGAAAAGCATGAGGAAAATAGCACGTAAAGCGAGTGATACCATAAAGTTAAGCTCCAACAATCTTCCAACCCGAAGTCGAACACCCAAAACCCCACACCACAGGACCCTTTTTCGGACCTCACCGGCCCGAAGAAAGTTGGTGAATTCGGCCTCAAAGCCGTCAGAAAAATCGGTGGTGCCCGGGCCCTCATATAGAGGGCTCCCGATGCATGTATGTATATACATCTCTATACATACGTGTATATATATATATACATACATACATATATATATATATATATATATATATATATATACATGTATATAGATGTGTATATACATACACATATGTATTATATAGATATGGGTGTGTGTGCGTGTACATGTACATATAACTGGTAACTCAATTGTGCGTCATGAATCTGTACGTACATACTTATATACATGCACACATAGTATATATATATATATATATTATATATATATATTATATTATATTATATTATATTTTATATATATATATATATATATATATATATATTATATATATATATACACGTACAGACCCATGTATTCGTTGCCTGAATATTTTACATATGTACAGATGAATACGTATACACTAGCATCTGTTAAACGCATACTATATATATATATATATATGTGTATATACATATATATATATGTATGTATGTTAGTATTTGTATTTATCTGTTTATGATGCTTATGTACTCCTTTAATTGTTGTTGTTGGATCAGGATGGCTGTGGATTTGGGGTATATCACGGTACAACCCACACACAAGGACTATATGGAAACTTCCCCCGACAAGGCCAATCAATCCCCCCCCCAATCCGACCACCTTCAATCCAAAAAAACGAAGAAAAACTGAAAAAAAAAATCTCCCAAGACCATCCATGCTGGGTCTGGGGCTTCGAGCATTGGGTTTTTGTCTCCATATTGGTATACAGTCCGTATACAGTCCTACAGCAAGAAGCGCGCTTGACAAAAAGCGCGCTTAGCAACAAGCGCGCGGTTTAGGGTTTAGGGTTTAGGGTTTAGGGTTTAGGTTTAGGGTTTAGGGTTTAGGGTTATATGTCGGACCTGCGCTTGCGATATTGGCGCGATTGATAAAAAGCGCGCTTCACAACAACTAAGGTCCAGACATTCGGGTTTAGGGTTTCGTGCTCTGGGGCTTCGAACCGGGTTGAGGGTACGCTATCGGTTCGGTTTAGGTTCTAACATTGGGGCCGCTTTTGCAGTCAGAATAAAGCTCAAGGGTATGTTGTGTATGTTGTGGTGTAACTCTAGTAACCCAGTACGTTATTCAGACCTCCATGTTCCGGTTTCGGGTTTCGCCGCCGCCCTAAACCCTAAACGGAGCCGAGTTGCTCGACACAATGCGTCGACGACTCGCGCCGCCCGGTGCGCGAGAAGCGCATCCTGCCCCAGGTGCCAAGGCTCTATGTAAGTCTGAGAAGGCTTGTACTAGGGCCATGAAGCTTCCAAAAAGGGCTTCCATCAAGGCGCCAAAAGCCTGCTAGACTTAAGCTTGCAGACTTGGCTTACTTGCAATAATTCAGACCCTTCCTCTAAGCCGGAAGCCCCAAAATCCCGGTCCCTCCCCACAGTCTCGGGCATCCTTGTTGCGGTCACGGCCCTCGTCGCCCTCCAGGCGCTTTCCGGAGCCTCGGTTGCAAGAGGGGTTCAGCCTATAGGTGGTTCTCTAGATTAGGGTCCCTGTTAGGGTCCTTTTTACATTTATGCGGGTGCCATGCTATTTGGGGATCCAGAAAAGGAGCCGAATTTCGATAAGTACCCATATGGGCCTTGAAATTTGCTAAGAGTTTTGGGGCCTCTTTCCAGTACCCAAAAGAAACTGACCTCGAGGCATCTAGGCTCCCCACAACTTCACAAGCTTACACTGAAGCGAAAGGCGCAAAAGTATAGTGGAGGCTACCCTAAAAACCCCAAAGCCAAAACCCCGAACTCTAAACCCAATACGCAATGACTGATGCCGAAAGGCGAGCTCAGGCTCGGAATATTTAGACTTTTGGGCTTATGGTTTAAGGCTTCAGCTCGTTGAGTGCAAGAGATCGCCTGTTTCGGCACATTTCGAGCTTTGCGATTGAATGCAATGCCGAATGGATTTAGTAGAGTGTTTGGCCCGCAACCAAAGCAATCCAGGAAGCAGCTAGCAAGACTGAATAAACATCAACAGACGGCGCAAATATTCAACGCCACCTTGCCACGAAACCACGCATGAACTCTGGGCCATGAACCATGGAACACAATCTGCAACAAGCGACGGTATGCCACGTAGTCCCGGATGCCCTCCTCCTCCGATGCAGGGCGTATGCAAGACTTCCATGAAGCTTTGGGGAAGCATGGGCGAGTGGAACAGCTGGGCATAAGCAGCAGTTCCTGTTCACTCTGGACGGACCCTTGGTCCCAAAACCTAAACCCTAAACCCTAAACCCTTATCATACCCTAAACCACAAACCCTACAACCCTAAACCCTGAGCCCTCAGTCACAAACTCTAAATCCCAAAACCCTGAACCCGCGCCTCCGCAGAGCAACCCTGGGAAACCTTCATCGAAGCCTAATACAGCCCTGACTGCCATCACCACAAGCATCCCTAAACCTTAAACCCCGTAAGCCCTTAATATAGGGTCCTTAATAATTACGCATACTATTTTGGGGGTTCCTTATTATAGGTATAGCAGAATGGGCCCCAAAGCCCTGTTCTAATTTATGAAGGCCTCCATGTTACGACCATCCCGGGGCTACCCACGCCTGGAAGAACTGCGAGACGAACTTGATCTCTGCACCTCAGATGGATGGGTTATAGGGTTTTAGGGTTTAGGGTTTAGGGTTTAGGGTTTGGGGTTTAAGAACTCGAAGCTTGCACATCATGTTACTAGTTCCCCAACCATAGCAACCAAAATCTACACTCTGTGATCTTTGTTGAGGATGCCCAATATACGCACAACCCCACCATCACATTGCACACCCTACCCCATGTATGCTACTCCTACCGCGATGGAAACTATTGACCTGACCCCTGACTTCAAGCCCTATCGGCCGTGAGCGCAACAAGCAGAGACCCCGAAGAGCGAATCCCCGAGAATTTCCATACCCTAATTCCGGCAAGACCCCAGAAGGCAAGAAGAACCTGACGAAACATGAGAACCTTAGCTGGGCTTGTTGCCGCAGACCCCAGCTCTAAATGCTGCACAACCAACAAGTACCCCGAGACTCCAATATTCCTTAATTAGGGAATATACCTTAAATCATATAAAGGATCCTACTATAGTTTAAGGTATATTCCTTAATTAAGGGATTTTGGAGTCTCTGGGTACGAAACCGCGCTAAGCCCCAATCTCTCAATCCGAAAGCCGGCTGCAACCCCTTAAAGCGCCAAAAGGCGCCTTAGGGTTTGAGGGTAAAATGCTACCATTATAATAAGGCACACCCCAAAAATAGTATAATAGGTAATTATGGAAGCCTCTATATTAGACTAGGGTCGGGGGTCAGGATATGCTATCATTATAATAAGGCACCCCAAAAAAGGCACAATAGGTCATTATTATAAGCCTCTATATTAGCAAGAGTCAGCTCTTCAGCGTAGAACCTGGAACCCCTGGAGGGCTGAACAGTGAGCACATGGTTCAGGGGTATAGCTTACTATAAGACTATAAGCGTCATGGCATAATATACTTGTACAGAGTACAATGTAGCATAACCTCGTACATTATCGTATATTCCAGTCTAGTATAGTATATGACAGTATATCATAGTATTACATAATATATATATATATATATATATACATACACACACAACAGAAACTACAAGGATTCAGACCTCGATCTTACTCACTCCGATGAAGTTCGAAGCCGTCTACGCCACACCGCCGGGTCACGAACGAAGTCCAACAGCCGGTCCTGGAAGGCTTGAGAGCTGTAACAGATGTATCCATGTTCCGGTTTGGAGACGGGTTGTTGGCGGTCTTTCTGTTTTTGGACATAACGTGCCTTGTCCTTTGAAGCGCACTCCTGGGTTAAAGCCCCAAAAAAAAAGCTTGCGGGTTTAAGGATTTGGAGATTACCACATTTGCCACGGCCTGAAATCCCCATCCGAACGGCCTGGAACTACAAGCGAGCGGCTCTCAAACGGCTAGCAGCGAAATCCTGGCTCGGTCCTGCGGCCTTGCTTTGAGTTGTTGCGTTACCGCTTGTGAAGTGCTGGCTTTGGAGACTTTTCCAGCCCGAGGCACTCAACCCTAAACCCGTGTTCGCTAAACTGCGAAACCCCAAAACCGAGCACCTGGACTTTTGAATACCAAACCCGAAAAGCCTGAAGAGCCGTACAGCCCTTAGAGAGTCCTTAAAGCTAAAGCTCTCTGCCCCGAACCCAGGGACTCCAATATCTCTTAGATAAGGAGTACACCTTAAAACTATCGTAAGATCCCTAACATGATTTACGGTATATTCCTTAAGTAAGGGATATGTCCCTAAAATTATCGTAAGATCCCCTAACATGATCTACGGTATATTCCTTAAGTAAGGGATATTAGAATCCCCTAAACCCTATATATAGATCCCTTAAAGGAACCCTAGGAGTCTCTGGTCAATACCTTTGAACCCTCAGGCCTCCAACTCCAGTGTGGCCCAGCCCGGGGCGACGTGGCGCTCGAGCCGTATCTTTACCACCTCGAGTGGATTCAGGGCTTGGGGTTTTGGGGTTTGGGGGTTTGGGATTTAGGGTTTAGGATTTAGGGTTTAAGGTTTGGGGTTTAGGGTTCGGGGGTTGTGGATTTAGGGGTACATAGGAAGTGAGGGACTCCATCTTCGAATTGCGCACACATCATGGTCCTTGTTCCTCAACTATCAAGCGAACTCCAAAAAGGAGCCCGTCTCGGAGCCCTCAGTCACAAAAACACTGCAACCTTGGCCTTAGCCGTCAATTGCACACCATATATCCGAAACTTTCGACCACAAGGGGCCCCTATAATTTGACTATGGTCTTGGCCTAGAAGACGCTATACGTATAGTAAGGAACCCTCCCGAACAAGATTGGATATTGTTCAAGGCCCCCAATTTTCCCGCAAATCCGAAGACGTAACTAAGGGGCTGAATACCCTAAACCCTAAACCCTAAACCCTAAACCCTAAACCCAGAATGGTTTTAACTTGTAAACTGTGGCAGTCGCCTCACCAGCCCCTATCAAATCGGTAGCCTCGATCCACCCTTCAGATCTTAAACGTCTCTGGAAATCAAGGCCCTACCGGCAACCCCCGAAAGCCCAAGTGAGATTTGCTGCAGATCCCAGAGGGTCGGACCAAGTAATGTCAAGACTCCCTAAACCCTAAACCCTAAAACCCCAAAACCCTAAACCCTAAACCCTCGACCCCAAACCCTAGAACCCTAAACCCTAAACCGTCAAGGCAACATCTCAACGGTCCTGCCTCGCCGCTGTCTGACACGCCCTCCTGCCCGGAGAAGAACGCGACTCTGTTCTAGGCCTTGTTCACCCTGAAGAGCTACGGAGCCAGAAGGAAAACATGATGAAAAGGGTGCGGAGGGCGAGGAGGCGGAATGCGGAGGACGAGGAGGCGGCATATTGCAGACCCTTTGTTAACATTAATACATTATGTTAACTTACTTACTCAATTCTAAAAAGTCGAATGTAAGAATTCAATATGGTATATTCAATTAACTGGGTCTGGGCCTGAGCCTCACACCTGCAATTGAACAGTTTCATACATTGAATCTGCTGCGCCAGCACAACATTCAGTCAGACTACGTTGTAAATTTCCGATGCTTCGATTGAATTTGTTAGACATGGTAAGTTCGTTTGAACTGCTGGATTGCCTTGGAGTGCATTGATCCAACTGTTTCGAAAAAGAAAGTATTCTTTTCTTTTTCCAGTCGCCTGATCAGGTCAATCCGGCTGCCCGGTTAAGTGTGTGTGTGTATATACATATATATATATATATATATGTGTGTGTGTATGAATATATATATATATATATATATATATATGTGCAGACATGCATACACACACACACAAACTGAGTCATAATGGCAACTTAAAGAAGTCCCCAACTCAGCCACAAACGCTTGACCGTTCCTGAAACCCTCGAGCGACACAATGGCCAAGCCATGGAAACCAACACATATCCCCTGGAGCGCCTCAATAATTCGAATACGGTTCTGGGATATCTTATAGTGTTTAGAACTGTAGGGAACCCGGAGGACTTGTATTGCAAATTCTTCCGGGTTCTTTACAAACAGCCATACTTGTCCATGGTTCGGATCGTATGATAATTCCAAAATGCTACGCAACAAAGAATAAAGGCTGAACGGCACCTGGTCCACCTCGCAGAAGACGCTGCCCTTGCTGGGCACTCCGACAACGGACTCGCCACAGGCTTTGCAAATCCTCGGGCTCCACTGGCTTTAGGGTTTAGGGCTCTAGGGCTTTGGGGCTTTAGGGTTTTCTTTTTTAAAGTTGATATGCACCCTTTAGGGTTTAGGGCCCTAGGGCTTTGGGGCTTTAGGGCTTCGGGTCTTTCCGGCTTTAAGGGCTAATGGCTGGGAGTGTCGATTGGATTTTGACTTTAGACTTGAGGGGTTGAAGTCGGGGTCTCCTTTAGAATCCACACTGCTATAAGCCTGAAGCCCAACCTCGAACCTCAGATGTGGGGCTTCGGGTTAAGTTGAGTTAAGAGCTACACAACGCTTGCGGAATCGCAAAACCTATGAACCCCTAAGCCCTTAAACGAGTTCAGACAATGCCTGGTGTGTCTAGATCTCCAGCCTCGGAGATAAAGCCCTAAACCCTAAACCCTAAACCCTAAACCCTAAAACCCTAAACCCTAAACCCTAATACAAAGGACAAGCATTTAAAACCCTGTTCAGGCCCTGTTCCCGACACCGTAGACGAAGACGCCGAAACTTTCCCTCCATTCGTGCCCCAGCGACGTCGAACCATTGCTGATCTCTGACTCTGGAGCCCTAAGACATATGATATAGCTGCCGCATCTGAGCCAAGACTTTGGCACAGAATACTGTATCATCTACAGCAGCTTACAGCGACAGGCTTCAAGGAAATGACAGACTTCATGGTTGAGACTCCTACCGTGCCAGTCAAGCATCTGCTCGCAACTCGTGGTCCCACGGCCCGTGACCCAGTGATGGCCGCAACCTTTGCCGGTACCTGGGTCTGAATTCTCGGGTTTCAACTTCGGCTGATGATTTTGTGGTCCCTACAACTTTTCTTGGTTCAGGGTTCGGGGCCACTCTTTGTTGCAAGGTCATACATCCACTTTCCGCCCAATCTGAATGCTGCTTCTTGCTCTGTAGGTTTTGCTCATCGCTCGTGCTTGCTGTCCCTTCCTGTTTACAGGTGTTTAATGATGTGCAACATGCGTCGATTCTTCGACCTTCTTTGTTTCTACTACCGAAACCCGAAACCGAACATGCCCGGCATGGGCTCACTAACCCCTAAACCCCTGCTCGGCACCGGACCAGCCTAAACCCTCCTGCCCAAAAACTGCAGATGCCCCGCATAGGCGTCTAGCGGCGCCTTATGGACACGGCTCCGGTTGCTGAATGAGCAAGTTTTGGGCCTGGAAACCTCTGAGGAGTTGCGTTGAATGGTTTGGCCGCCTGAGACGCCGCGGAGCCAAACGCAGTAGCACCAACCATACAATCGGATCAACCTTACAGAGCCAATTTAGCTTTGTTCAAGACCCTTAGGCCCTTATAGTGACAATTATACAGCACCTGATACAACCCTAAACCTTAAACCTTCAACTAACCCTTCAACCCTTCACTCTAAAAGCCCCCTAAACCCCCCAAACTCCAAACCCTACCCCTCACGGAGCCTCAAAACCAAACCCCCTAAACCCTAAACCCTGCCCCTCACAGAGCCCTCACCTGAAAGCCCGAGGGGCAGCGAAAGGCCAAGATCTCGGAAACCGGCTCCTTTAAGCGAGGAGGCTCTAGAAGAGGGCGGAGGATAACATTCTAGGGTTTAGGGTCTAAGGTTTTAAAGTTTAGGAGCTTATGGGTTTAAAGGGTTTAAAGGTTTATGGGTTTGAGGGTTTAAGGGTTTAGGGGGTTTAGCCTCAACTTGGAACTCCTAACTTCCAACCCCTACAACCGCAAAAAGGCCTAAGCCGTTAATCCCCCCTTCACACACCCGGCAACTGCCTCCTTGGACCGCTTGGGCGCGGCCGTGGCGATGCCGGCCACGCGTTTGGGTGCCTCCCCCGCTGGGGCTCCTCGAAAGATCGATTGGGGATTGGCTTCGGGTTTAGGGTTCAGGGTTTAGGTGTTCTTTCTTTGAAAGGGTTCACGGTTTAGGGCCAGCGCTTGGGGCGTTGGTCTGTCAAGTAGGGTCTTGTAGATCGTCAGCCTCGGTAACTACACTTACAACTTACAGCTATGTCTCGACAGAAAACTACATAATTAACTTTCTTCCAAGCCTATTGACTCAAACCGTTGCTCCGTTAATCCTTAGTAGCACCTTTATAATCAGAGTACTCTTTTCCCACTGTTCGGATTATTCGGTTTTAATCTGGGGACCCTAAGATAAAAAAGGCAAAAAGGGTATTATTCAGGAACCCCAAACCCCTAAACCCCAAACCCCTAAACCCCTAAACCCCTAAACCCCTAAACCCCTAAACCCCTAAACCCTAAACCCTAAACCCCTAAACCCCTAAACCCCTAAACCCCTAAACCCCTAAACCCCGAAACCCCTAAACCCTAAACCCCTAAACCCCGAAACCCTAAACCCCTAAACCCCTAAACCCTAAACCCCGAAGCCCCGAACTCCGAAAATCCCAAACCGGCCTCGCAGCGCAGCGAGGCGCTGCTTAACTCTGTCGGCGGCAGTGGTGGCCAAAGGCTCTGGGTCTTCGCTCGGCCTAGAGGAATTGTCGGGTTTAGGTTTCTTGGTTTACTGTGTGGGGTTTAGGGTTTACATTTTGGGGTTGAGGGGTTGTTGAAGTGTGTTGACGAGGATCTGCCTGGGTGAGACAAAAAGCAGCCCACAAAGCCACCCTGCAGCAGGAACATGTAGTGCTGCTGTCTTGCACACATCATGAACTCATCATAGTACTGGTAATGGTCGTTATGGGTCGAGGGCTTAGGGATTAGCGTTTACCGTCTAGGGTGTCTTTTTTTGCAGCCGCTTTTCCTCCTGCCAAGTTCATGTTAGTCGGAATGCCTGCTAGGCTGAGGCGATGGGCAGTTTAGGGTTTAGGGGTGTCGGGGTTTAGGGGTGTAGGGGTTTCGGGGTGTCGGGTTAGCAGGGGCGTTACGGAGCGACGCCAAGAACTTCTGATTACGGGCCCGTGCCGCCGACCCTAAACCGCCAAACCCCCTCAAACCTCAAAACCCCTCAACCCCTAACTCCCTAGACCCCTAGAAGTTCCTAAACCCCCCGAAAACCCAAAGTTGACTCGTTCAGTGCTTGAGGGCTGTAGGCGTTCAGACTTCGGGCTTCATACTCGAAGGGCTGAGGGCTCAAAAAAAAAACAAGCATTTTAGGGCTAAAGAATCAAGAACAATCCGGAGGTTTAGGGCTTTAGAGCATAAAAAATTTCGGTTCTTGCGGATGTAGAAGTTGGGGTCCAAGCTTATGAGATTTCGCGGGGGGGCTCGGTCCAAGGCCAAGGGTGTCAATACAGGCGTCGGGATGATTTAACCCTAAACCCTGATAATAGGGCTCTTACTAAGTCCCCTAAACCCTCAACGGTGAACCCTCAACTCTGATACTGTTGATGATATAAATCCTGCATTACCTTACGGACCCTAAACTATGGGAACTATGGTATATTCCTTACTGCAGGAATTATATGGGGGTTTCCGAAAATATGGGACCCGAATATAGTACCCTAAATAGTAGGATCCTTAGTATAAGGACACCCAAAAAAGGTACCCCTATTTTCGGAAACTCCTAAACCCTAAACCCTTTATAGAACCCTTATAGATCCCTTTAAAGGAACCCTTAAGAGGATCCCTTTAAAGGTACCCCTATTTTCGGAAACTCCCATTTATATCATCAACCCTAGGAGGGCTACCCAGCTCCCCTCGCCAGGGAACGGCACCGCCAGTCGACCCAACACCGGCTTCCTGCATCGAGGGAAGAAACGCAACCGGTTTAGGGTTTAGGGTTTAGGGTTAAGGGTTTCGGGTACATAGGCAGAAGAGTCCAAAATGCACACGATTTTGTAATCAGGTCTGTGTGTTCAGGTCAAGTACAGTATTGCTGTGTGGAGACCACCCGGACCAATCCCCGTTTATGTAGCCCCGTGACCAAACAGCCGACAAGTACGGTAGGGAGACCTTGCTACAAGGATGCTGAAACTTTTGAGATTTAGGTTCCGACGAAGATGTGGAACTTGAACGGGAGCCGTCGTTCAGGCTTATGGTCCGGGTCGCGGGCTTGTTAAGTCTAACGCGTCAGAGATTCCAATATTGGAATATACCCTTTTTTTGTTAGTGGGCTCCCTGATACGATTTAAGGTATATTCCTTAATTCAGGAATATACCTTAAAAGAAACTATAATAAAGGAGTATACCTTAAATCATATTAGGGCCTGGCAGGACCGTACACTGAAAACCAAACCCGGAAAAACTCGAAGGCTAGATCCGCAAGGAAGGGCCCAAAACAACCCTAACCCCGAACCCCAAGAAACTGATCCTACGCGGTCTTGCATGGCCTCTTAGAGGATCATGGGACTTAGTAAGTAGGTTATAATTGGGGTTATAAGTCCCCTAAGTGGGGCTATCCTAATTATAACCTACTTATAACCTTACTTACTAAGTCCCATGAGCCTTCAAGTAGACCAGGGGACCGGGCTCGACTTCCTAAATCTCATATACCTGTACAGGCACCCCCAGAAAACCCTGTAAAATCCACGATTATGAAAACATGTAGAACCCCATAGCCACCCAAGGGAACCCTTTGAAGGAACCCTTTTAGGAGCCCTTTTAGGAATCCTTGTAGGAGCCCTGCACCGGAACCCTTACAGGTCCCTTCATAGGAACCCTTGTAGGAGCCCGTTTAGGGAAGCCCTTGAACCCTTTTAACCCTTTAAAGAAACCCTCTTAGGGAACCTTTTTAAAGGATCCCTGAAAGGGAACCGGCCAAGCAGGCTGCGCCGGCCTCTCTGCAGCTCGGAAGCCAGCGAAGTCGCGCAGAGACGTCCAGGGAACATCGTTGCGCATCGCTTCGCTTTGGGGGAAAGGGGTCCTATAAGAAATCTATAGTAGGATTCTGTAATATGCGGGCCTTTATGATTAGAATCGGGTTTTGGTGCCCAATTATTGCTATCACTATAATAAGGAACCCACAATAGTATGGGTAATTTTTAAGGCCCCTGTATTGGAGCCTTCGAGGGGGGTGTGTTTGGGTTTAGACTTTCAGAGCCTTGTGGGGCGCTTAAAGTTCTCGAATCGCTTGAAGGGCTGTGCTTAGGGTCGAAAGGAAGGCTCAGAGCAACCGGGCGGGGGTTACCCTAAACCCCTAAACCCTACACCCTGAACCCGCGCAGTGTTTGGGGGCGCTTGGCTGAGGGTTGTGTGGGGTTTAGTGTTTCCGGGGGAGACAGGGGCTTTGAAGGCTTGGATGACTTAGGGTCGCATGCTAGTGTTCAGGGTTTAGGCTTTAGGGGTTTAGGGTTTAGGGGTTTAGGGTTTCGGTTTTTTGAAAAGTGTAGGGGTTAAGAGTTTAGGGTTTAACGTCCAAGGTTCTGGGTTTATCGCTTCTGCCACCAATGTCTGGGTGCACCTCCAAAGCTTCCAGGATAAGAAGCTGAACCATCGCAGCTAAGCGGGAATCCCAGACTCGAACCCCTGACAACACAGTGAGCCGAAGCAGTAGCATCACAGGTCGTAGTGACGTCCTAGTGGCCCAAAATGTCTAGAGAGACTTTCGGGGCTCCTGGTGTGGGACTGGTTTAGGCGTTAGGGCTTAGAGTCTAGAGTCCAGAGTTTAGGGTTTAGGGTTTTGGAGTTTAGGGTTTCGGGTTTAGGGTTTAGGGCATTATGAGCTATTTGAGGTGTCGGGGTAAGGGAAATCTAAGTCCAGGAAGTACAGGTCTGCTGCCAAGAGCATACGAGTCAAGAGTTCAAGGACTCGGGATTCAAGGAAGGCCCTGGTCCAGGGGCTAAACCCCTAAACCATAAACCCTAAACCTGAAAACTCGGGCCACCTCCGGACCAAGGCATCGACATCTCGATGCCTACATTAGGGTTTAGGTTTTGGGAACCCACGCCCGAAACCGCAGTTGGTGCTTGAAAACTCTGCAAGACGTTGCATATCTAGTTAACCGGTAGTAACCCTACTTCCTAAGTCCCTGGTCTCTTTACCCATGTGCGGGTCCTGGAAGGGATGTGTACTTTGGCAACCGCCCACACCTTCGGGAGCGCATCCCCTACGACTTCTTGGGGTTTAGTAGTTTAGTGGGGCTGAGGGTTGGAGGAGTCAGGGTCCAGGGGTTTCAGGGCCTTGGTTTGAGCTTGAATGGGCTAAGGTCGCGGTTTTAGATGCGGCGCAGCTCTCTTCGACTGCTTGGGTGAAACCAACTCCTCGCGCGCTTTAAAAGCATCGACGGCCATGCCGCATACCCAGACACTCCAGCATCCCTTAATTCAGTGTGCTTTTCAAGAAACTTAAACAGATCATCACTTGAGTGAGGGTACCCCGCTGGAGGATACCAAAAACGCGTTCGTTAAGAGATTCGGGAGTCTTTGCGTATCCGTACAAGAAAGCAGCTCGGCTGCACCGGCTGGTGTGCAATCTGGTCTGAGTCTCCCTCAAACCGTATCTAGGTTTAGCGTTTCAGTGGGCCGGCTTGCAGGTCTAGGAGTCTAAGTCTAGGGGTGTCAGGTTCAGTGCTTTCGGTGAAGCAGGAGTGTTTTGGTGAAGTGCAGGACAAATGCTGAACGGTGCAGACCAGAAGGGGGAACCCTTTTGACTAACTACTGGCTCCCGAACATCCAGAGCTTTTGTGGCTGGATGTCAGACAGTCAGGAACTGACTCCAGGCCGAGGGCTCAGATAGAATTGCAAAGCGGTTTAGGGTGTACGGTTGATGATATAAATCCTGCATAACCCATAATAAGGACTATACCATAATTCCCATAGTTTAGGGTCCTTAGGTAATGCACGGTTAAAATCATCAACTGTAGGACTTCGTGTTTAACAGTCTAGGGCCTAGGGATTACGGGTGAAATTCCCAGAGAGCCCAATACTCCTTAATCAAGGATTCACAGCGTACGCTCATTTTGCACCGGAGGAGCTGCAAAGCATCAGGTTGGCGCAAGAGCGAAAACGAAGCAAAAAGGTGCTCATTGGCACCCTAATGTACAGCGCCAAGAACTGGCCCGTGGGCCTCTCTCCCGTAGGAGGATCCTCGACTTTTGCGCTTCTGCGCCTGCCTCCCAACGCCAACTGTCCCAATCAGGAACAGCACCCTGGCACCGCCACACGCCACAGCGAAGCTAGAGACAGCTGCAGGGCGGTAGTGGGAGGGGGAAGCCAAAGTTGCACCAAGGTAGCCCTGGCGTCATCAATGTAAATCCGCGCGGTTTGCGAATCCTTCCAGCGGCCTTGCACCATGGTGCACCCGAGGCTTTGGGTACGTTGGTAGAATTCCGTCGCACCCCCTCGCCTTAAAGAATAAGGCAAGAAGTCGGAGGGGGTGAGGCCTATGAATCGCACCAGGCACGAAAACTCGTATCGAAAAGAAGCCACGGAGCGGTCATAAAATAAAGATCTCGGGCGTACCCGGTCCAAAAGAAAAGAGAGTACTGCCACCAGCGAGGGCTCCTTCAAGGAAAGAGATTGCTGTAACCCTCGCGATTGCAATCACGATAGTGCCTTCTTCCGGGAAGAGGCGGACATGGTCAATCCTTAAAGACAAAAGCTCCATGGTCAGCAGGAAGAAGGCGAAACCCAAAAGGATTGTGACCGAGAGGTCAGGTCTGCCGATGCGAAAGGCAGCAGCTGCCATTGCACGTGCCCCCAACCACGTCATGGGGTTGGTCCTGCGGGGCATGTGCACACGCTGTCAGTTTCGTAGGTATACCTGTGAAGTCAGGAAGTGAGGCTTGCAGGGAGGCAGAAACCTTTTGAAGCCAATCAGGGTCCAGCCTGCCATTGTTAACCGTATCACCTTCCTGGTAAAGGTGATTCATATACTCTGCAAGTTCCTCATCCAACTCCTGCATTGTAGCAGGTAACCTGCCCCGTAGGGCGCGTTGGTAAGAACAGAAAGCCGCAACCGCTCCTTCGTAAGACCGTCTGGTTTTTGCTGTGATCCCCAGGAACCTAAGATGATCATTGCGGTTCAAATTTCCGCGACGCACCATCGGAGAAGTTCCACTTGCTTATCGTCCAAAGGGTCATGGGGATCAAACCAGAGGCCAAGGAAAGGCTAGCGATGCGGCGGCTCACTCTGTTGAGGCGTTTTGACGAGGACCTCCCCTTGGCGAGCACATAGAAGCAGACGAGGGAGTCCCAATTCGCCGCTGCTTCGCGCCCGCCTTCTCAACTCCGTGAGAAAGGCGGTCAGCTCAAGCACATTAATGTGCTGAGGTTCGCGCCACTGGTAGGAGAGGACGTCCCGCCAGTGTCAGCGAAAGGCCGGGTAAGGGCCCGGCCTGTGGCCCACCAAATCGTTGCCGCGATCGGTGAGCCTGACATCACAGCCTGGCAGCCACTCGAGGTGCTGCTTTTCTTGGCCTCCTTCCATTGTCTCCAAGAAGGTTAGGCACTGCTCCATTGCCCAGACCACGGCTGCCTCTTGCTGCAACCCCTTCGTTGCTCCTTGGAGCTGGTGCATGATGAGGCGGTCGAGGGTATGAGGCAAGGACCCAAAACAAATCGTGTACTTTGAGTTCAGCTCATCGTGCATGCCCTCCGCCATCACCAAGCAAAGCTGCCATGGTTACTCCGAGTCCTCATCCTCATCCAAGTCCCCATCTGGCCAAGGCAGCTGGGGGTTGCAGTCGCAAACCGGCTTGTGAAGGACGGCATGCAGAGAGGCCGAGTTCTGAACCACGCACAGCCATGACTGCTTTTCGTCCCCGTGGCAACACGTTGAGAAGATCGAGTGAAACCAACCTTCTCCTTGGAGAGACCTCACTTCCGGAACCTCCCAAATGGAGGAGTCATATGGGTGTTCCATGCTCTCCATTCGCCCGCGGCGCTGGGCCTCCATGAGACCTCTGGCCGCCCGGCCGCCCGCTTGGCGATCGCATTGGCTAACCGAGACATTGAGGTGCGGCGCTAAGCGAGGCACTCCTTCTGGATGGGCCCGATCTCTGAGAGGAGCTCGGCCAGGAACCCAGTGGTTGCGCCGGTCCCGGTAGCCTGTCGAACGGTGCTTCAGAAAGGTCGACCAGTGTGTCCAGCCGAGGTCCCCGTCACCCTCGACTCGAAGAACGGTCAATCCTTAAAGACAAAAGCTCCATGGTCAGCAGGAAGAAGGCGAAACCCAAAAGGATTGTGACCGAGAGGTCAGGTCTGCCGATGCGAAAGGCAGCAGCTGCCATTGCACGTGCCCCCAACCACGTCATGGGGTTGGTCCTGCGGGGCATGTGCACACGCTGTCAGTTTCGTAGGTATACCTGTGAAGTCAGGAAGTGAGGCTTGCAGGGAGGCAGAAACCTTTTGAAGCCAATCAGGGTCCAGCCTGCCATTGTTAACCGTATCACCTTCCTGGTAAAGGTGATTCATATACTCTGCAAGTTCCTCATCCAACTCCTGCATTGTAGCAGGTAACCTGCCCCGTAGGGCGCGTTGGTAAGAACAGAAAGCCGCAACCGCTCCTTCGTAAGACCGTCTGGTTTTTGCTGTGATCCCCAGGAACCTAAGATGATCATTGCGGTTCAAATTTCCGCGACGCACCATCGGAGAAGTTCCACTTGCTTATCGTCCAAAGGGTCATGGGGATCAAACCAGAGGCCAAGGAAAGGCTAGCGATGCGGCGGCTCACTCTGTTGAGGCGTTTTGACGAGGACCTCCCCTTGGCGAGCACATAGAAGCAGACGAGGGAGTCCCAATTCGCCGCTGCTTCGCGCCCGCCTTCTCAACTCCGTGAGAAAGGCGGTCAGCTCAAGCACATTAATGTGCTGAGGTTCGCGCCACTGGTAGGAGAGGACGTCCCGCCAGTGTCAGCGAAAGGCCGGGTAAGGGCCCGGCCTGTGGCCCACCAAATCGTTGCCGCGATCGGTGAGCCTGACATCACAGCCTGGCAGCCACTCGAGGTGCTGCTTTTCTTGGCCTCCTTCCATTGTCTCCAAGAAGGTTAGGCACTGCTCCATTGCCCAGACCACGGCTGCCTCTTGCTGCAACCCCTTCGTTGCTCCTTGGAGCTGGTGCATGATGAGGCGGTCGAGGGTATGAGGCAAGGACCCAAAACAAATCGTGTACTTTGAGTTCAGCTCATCGTGCATGCCCTCCGCCATCACCAAGCAAAGCTGCCATGGTTACTCCGAGTCCTCATCCTCATCCAAGTCCCCATCTGGCCAAGGCAGCTGGGGGTTGCAGTCGCAAACCGGCTTGTGAAGGACGGCATGCAGAGAGGCCGAGTTCTGAACCACGCACAGCCATGACTGCTTTTCGTCCCCGTGGCAACACGTTGAGAAGATCGAGTGAAACCAACCTTCTCCTTGGAGAGACCTCACTTCCGGAACCTCCCAAATGGAGGAGTCATATGGGTGTTCCATGCTCTCCATTCGCCCGCGGCGCTGGGCCTCCATGAGACCTCTGGCCGCCCGGCCGCCCGCTTGGCGATCGCATTGGCTAACCGAGACATTGAGGTGCGGCGCTAAGCGAGGCACTCCTTCTGGATGGGCCCGATCTCTGAGAGGAGCTCGGCCAGGAACCCAGTGGTTGCGCCGGTCCCGGTAGCCTGTCGAACGGTGCTTCAGAAAGGTCGACCAGTGTGTCCAGCCGAGGTCCCCGTCACCCTCGACTCGAGTTCTTCGAGTCGCGCTTTTCCCTCGTCACTCCTGAAGTCCCATTTACAGAGGTCCAGGTGCCCTCGCGCACACACCAGGGAGCAGCAACGAAGCCCGCAACCCCTGGGACAAGGGTAGGTTCGCCCAGGCGGTTCCGAGAGCTCCTTCGAGCAGTTGCCGCAAAAGTTCAGGTCCTCAACAGGGTCTGGCAGGATGAGACCTGAAGGTGAGGCGTCAGTACAGCTCACTTCCTCACAAAGTTCCGAGGAGAGGTCAGTTTCTGCCAAAGGCAGAAGACCAGTGAACACCAGGACCTCATCCACCACCGAACTTGCGAGAGACACATGAGTCCCTGCATGCTTCGACTCCAAAACCCCATAAACCTCCTGGAGGGGCGAAAGCTGCCTTCCCAGTCCAGTGCCGAATGCAAGTGTCCGGCATGGTCCCATTTGTGGGCGTGCCTCAGGATATGGCGATCCCCAAGGATCTCTCCTCCTTGGGGAGTCCCGGTGAAAGCTCCACAGAGCTGTTTGCTTTCATTCGTCGGGAGACCCAGGGCCCGGCAAGCCTCGATGAACTTCCGGTGGTTAGGCGAGGGCGCCCCGCTCTCGGCTTCGGAGAATCTCCTTCTTGAGGTGCCTGATTTCATCAAAATTGTCAAGGTACAGAATCGGGAAGGGGTTGGTCCATTGACACGTCCCCGTGAAAAGGGACCTTTGCGATACTATAGGCTATGTGCCTGATCGCCGCCTGGATTAACCTCACGGCCGGCGTCCACCCCATTGGGACCACACGCAGGGCCGGCCTCAACATTGTATTGGCCGACCCACCCAGAGCATCTCCTTTGACTTTCTGGGCAAAGCTGAAGAGTGGTGCCCACTCCAACGGCATGCGAAAAAGGTTGAAGGCACTCTGGAGGTCTTCAGAGTCAAGGACCAGGTAGGAGTCCTTCTCCGCCATGATCGCGGTGAGCTGCCCTATGTAGGGAAGCTTGTCCTGCGCCCCGGGGAGAAGCCTCATAGCGTCGTTGGTGGGGCAAAGGATGGAGATGAACCGTTGCGCCTCGATGGTCCGGTCCCCCTCTTTTTTCATCTTGACCACCGCCCCCGCGCCATTGGTGATAAGGTGGCCCCGCCTGTCAAGCGGAACATCCTCGTCCTTCACAGCCACGAACATGCCTCGGTCGTAACCGGCCTTCACTATCTTATGCCACTCTGCTTCCGTCGCCCTGACACGGGAGCCCCGGTGACGATCCGGGAGCTCAGCCTCCGGCAAAAGAAAATCGCGAGGGCGATCCAATGCCTCCTTGAGGTCGTCAGGGAGACAGTCGCGAAGGTCCACGACCGCCACTGACCCGGGGAGGGCCAGGCCCTCAAAACCTTCTCGGCCACAAGGTCTTTCATGTGATCCACCGGCTGGCCGCTGTAGTCGAACTTTTTCGAAAAGAGTTTTGCGGCGGCGGCCGTGAAAAGCGCGTGCTGCACTCCACTGCGTTGCGCTGGGCACTGGGGGTAATATAGCTTAAATCATAATATTAATCCCCTTCTAATTTAAGATATATTCCTCAATTAAGGGGTATTGGGCTCTCTGGGTTACGAGAGGGCCTCCTCTCGACACTCCAAACAACGTCCGAGACAAACCCAATCAGCCCCGAAATCCGAAAGCCAAGAAGCACATGCCGAAAACATGGAATAGCTAACCAGTGGTTTGGGGGTTCCCTTGGCTCTTTAGCTCCTTATTTAGAAGGGATTATCATCATCCGGCTCCTTAGCTCCTCCAATATCAATGGTTAGATAGGGCTGGTAAGCATAACAAACGAAACAGGGTATCGGAGGCACCTATAACTATAGTATCCCTTAAGCTTACATATAAACTTAACCTAAAACCTAACACCGTAGGACCGTAGGCCACAAGCCACGAAGCCAGCAAAGTCTGAACCCCTAACCTAACCCAAAACCTCAACAACGGAACCCTGACCCTGTTCTTAGTTGCGGAGTTCATAAGCCCCCAAAAGTGTAAACCTTCAGCTTTATAGCGGGTAATATTCTCCCAAAAGTGTAAAGTGTATCCACTCAGCTACTAAGTGTCTAAAAAACGCTTCAGGGTTTCGGGCTTAGGGAATTCACCATGAACACCAGATCAACATGTTGATACCAAACCCGAAACCCGCAAATGCACTCCCGCTCCCCGCGCCAGCCACAAAACCGAACCGTAGACCCCAAATCCCGAAACCCAGCTGAGGGCACTCCGGTCAACATGGCCCTGATCTTTATGTCTCAGGTAGTTCAATCCGAAGGAAACGTACATCAAGCGTGATTGCGGAAAGTGAGGTAGGACGCGGATTGAAGCAAAGAGCACGGGATTTCGTGTATGGTCCCTAAACCCTAAACCCTAAACCCTAAACCCTTAAACCCTAAACCCTTAAACCCTAAACCCTTAAACCCTAAACCCTTAAACCCTAAACCCTTAAACCCTAAACCCTAAACCCTAAACCCTAAACCCTAAACCCTTAACCCTTAAACCCTAAACCCTAAACCTTTGGGACTCGGGGTTATAAGTTTTTGAAAACCCCAAGCACTGAAGTCAAGCGCTCGCACAGACTTGCAGCGAGTCTGCTCGATCACTCCTAGGCGTCTGGCTTTTGGCTCTTTTTACAGCGACGTGTCGTAGTATTGATCGTCTTGGTAGTCGTCTTCCTCACGGTATCATACATAGTGCTACTGTCAGCAGTATCAGCAACATCACTCGTCCTATGCCTAATGGTAGTGTTGCGAGCATGGTTTCCAACATTCCTACGAACGTAGGGAGCATTTAGTATATGCAAATAAGGAATTCCTCATGGTCATAGAGGAACTTATTTCGGACTCTTTGTCTATTTGGGGCCTCTCTGCTGTGCGAAGAAGGAGAACTGGGCGACAAGGGCTGCTTGCAGAGGGTTTAGGCCTTAGAGTCTCGTATACAGGTATTCTGAAGGCCAAATATTTCAGAAAGCTGCCCGACTAACTGGAGTAGGGTCGTGTGGTGTGTGACGCTGTAACGGTTACCGGCGATCCCAATGAAAATCCAGCTTGCACACTCACACCGAAAGCAGAAGGCGGAGTATTGGGTCTACAGCTCTGGCACCGAAGAACACAAGCGTCCAGGATCCAACCACGTATCAGGGTTTGGGGTAGAGGGTTGAGGGTGTAGTATCGGGGCTTTAATAATTAGAATAAGCTTTTGAAGCCCAATTCTACCATAATCATTGTAAGGAACCCTCAAGATAGGAAAGTGATTGCTAAGGCCCCAGATCAAGGCTTAAGGTCTTGGTTTTTGGAGGATAGGGTTCTCCAAGCCACGAGGTGCCTCAATAGGAGTCCGTTATGGAGGACCAGCATGAATCAAGGCATGTTTCGAATGTTTGGGGCTTGCAGCCAAATCCCCAACCTTCGAAGCCCTCTGAAGAGAAACCCCTAGCTTCTGGGGCCTTTTGAAGCCTCTCATGAATCCAAGGGCTGGGGGGCTTCGTGTTTACAGTGAAAGGTCCAGCACAGGGGACTGAAACAATGATGTCAATGTCTTTCCCAATGGTTCCTTGATACTCATGCCCTGGTCCAGTTAGCGAGGCCTCTTTTCTAGGGTCAGACCCTTCATCCCTTGATCTCAAAACCTCTGAAGAAGGCCCTACAATAACCTTTCAGGCATCCGTGAAGGAAAACCCTGCAACCCGGGTTCGAGACCCTAAAGCTATACTGAACTTAGAACCCGAGCAGAAATTACAATTTTAGCTGTTTCTTAGGGATGATAATTACCACAGATTAAAAAATATTTCTATTTACCCCTAAGAAAACCCTAAACCCGAGACTCAGCCCCCTGCGAGCACACCTGCGGCGTTTCGGGCCTGGGACTGGACAGGTCGATCGGTCGTCGGAGTGCAGGGCAGCAGGGGGGTTTCGTGCCGCAGGTATTGCCTCCAGGATTAAACCCCTAAACCGTAAACCCTAAACCCCCAAACCCTAAACCCTAAAGCCCTAAACCCGAAACCCTAAAGCCCTAAACCCTAAACCCCTAAATCCGAAGCGCCTGTGCGCCTTGTGTAGCAACATGCCCAAGACCCGGAGGCATGAGGCCGGCAACAACGAGAGCCACTGCGGGCGACTGAAGGGACTTAGGTCCTGGGGCTCAGAAGGCCTAGGCTTAGATCCTTTCACAATACTTGGAGGTTATGGGTAGTTATTTGTGGGGTTATATGCCCCCCAGAGCTCTAACTCCTAAGCCCTAAGCCCTTCACCGAAAGCCCGAAGAAAGAAAGCTCCAGCCGCTGTCCGCATTGAGGACTGGGGTGCCCGACGCCGGAGGCACTAGCCTCAGCAAGCAAAACAAGAAACCTTTTAGGAATGATAAGAAGTTTTAAGGAAGCCACGGCAGAACCCTGACAGAAACCTGACACGAACCCTTATAGAACCCTTATTATGACAAGGGGTCCCAAGCTTGGGACTGAGGGTGCTGGAAAAGTCTCTCAGGCCTTAAACCCTCGATGAGTGTAGTATAATGAGACCATAACAAGAAGACTAACAATGTTAACCTACATCTCGCAATCCTCAACTGTCTAAGCAGTCTCGTAGAGTTTGTGATTCAGTGCTTCAAATTTAGCTTTGAGGAGACGTCTGCCATCAAACTGCACTGACTCCCAAAACCCTGAAACCAACCCCTCAACCCGAAATCCCCAAATCTGTGAAGCACTACATGACCTAACCCCTACTTCTCCCTAAATCTTTGCACAACCCTCAGACCCCATACCCTGCACCACTTAAACCCCACACCCGAAACCCCCATCTCCAGGAACCCTGAACCCCAAATCATCGGCCCGAGCTGCATCGCTTCTACTGCAGGAGACCGCGGAACGAGGCCCCAAATCTCCGGAAGCACGCCTGGAAGGGAGCTCTGGGGGTTTGGGGCTTTCGGGAGTCTCGGGTGGTGAGTTTTTGCGTTTTAGACTTTGAAACTTTGGGGTCTACAGTAGGGTTTGGGGTGCAGGGTTTCGGGTGTCGGGTTCAATAGGTTTCAGGGTTCAGGGCTTGCGTGGGCTTGGGGCAAAAGAGTGTTGGTGTTGATTGGGGCAGGGTATACGGCAGACTCTAGAAAGAGCCCCCAAACTTAAACCCTGCACCCCTACACCCCTGACCCAACCTGCACTCAATGCCGGAGCGCCGCGCCAAAGAACCCCTGCACCTCCAAACGAAGCTATCCTAAGTCCTGCAAGCACAGACTCCTACCGCTTATGGTTTAAACATTCCTGGGTTTTGGGTTTCGGGGTCCAATCCGCAGAATGTCATGGGCCCTGACCCTGAACCCTCAGCCAAAAAGTGTCCGAACCCCTAACTCCCCGAACTAACCTAAGCCCACAAGGCCCTGAAACCACGAACTGCAAAACCTCAAAACCCCCCAAACTTCAAACCCTAAACCCTAAACCCTAAACCCTAAACCCAAACTTCTGAAACAAAAAACACATCGAAAACCCTGAGACTTCATCCGACAACATCGCTACTATAGCGGCCTTGACAATCAGGATAGCGTTCCTTGAAAGGGGTCTATAAGAAGGGATCTACAGTAGGGCTCTATAATAAGGGGCCTTCATAATTGGAATAGGGTTCCTGTAAAGAGGTCTGCAAGGGCTACTATAAGGGCTACTACGCCGCAGCCGCTCGCCTGTGAAACTCTCCTTCCTCGGCATCTCGAGGATCAGGAAGTCCTGGCAGCCCGAGTAAAATCGGATCCATGACGCGTATTGCTGCGGGTATCTAGGGCTTCAGGTTTAGAGTCCAGGTTTAGGGTTTAGGGTTTAGGGTTTAGGGTTTAGGGTTCAGGGTCCAGGGTTCAGGGTTTAGGGACTAGGGATTAGGGTTTAGGGATTAGGGCTTAGGGTTTAGGCTTAGGGTTCGGAGCTGGGGTTTAGGGTTAAGGAGGCTTTGGGGTGTAGGATCTTAGACTTTACGTTCACGTGGCGATACTGTTGATGGACAAAATCTTGCATGACCCTAAGGACTCTAAACTATGGGAATTCTGGTATATTCCTTATAATGAGTGATGCAGGATTTTGTCCATCAACAGTATTGATACACTACGGATGGTTGCATTTGCGAGCTTCAGGGTTTCACGACCACGTCTGCGGCAGTGTACCACCCACCAACGAAAACCACAGCGCAGTGGCGCAACAAGTAGTAGGAGTGAGAGGAGCACTGGTGGTGATGGTGGTGGTGGTGGTGGCATCAGCAATCGTAGAAGCAGCAGGAGGGGTTGATGTAGCATCGAAATAGCTGTTTTTGACCAGCCCCGAATCCGAAACACCCCGACCCTGCTGCCTCCCCTAAGCCTTATAAGACCTTAAGACCCTTACTTAAACCCTAAAGCCCGCCTAAACCCTGACTAAGCCCTACTGTAAACCCCTAGACCTGCATCCCAGCCCAAGCTCGGGAGCCGGGCCAGGTGCTTGTACTTCAGAGCTAACCTGCAGGGGGCTGTGGGGGGGGTTCACGGGCTTAAGGTCGGGGCCTTCAGTGTTTCAATGGGGTCGGGGCGTCGGATTATGTTGTGTTAAAGTTCCCTCCGGAAGAGTTAGAGAGAGAGAGAGAGAGAGAGAGAGAGACAGACAGACAGACAGACAGACAGACAGACAGACAGACAGACAGAGAGACAGACAGACAGCCACATACAGAGGATAGGGAGACTACAAAACAGAGACAAACAGAGACGGACAGTGGGACGAGCCAGCCAACCAGACACAGACCGAGAGACAAAGAGACACTGTTCGAGTCACGCGAGGAAATGCATGGCGCATAGCGATGCAGCATTCAAACGAAATGATCCACGGAACATGGCAAGACGCTGATGCACATCCATATATTGCAGTCAAGTTGCTTCGCGTCGTTTGGGAACTCGTTGCCCGCGTGTGCGGCAACGATGAGAAACGCCTTGGCTACTCTCAGCGGCTTCCGGGTGCAATCATGACTACCTGAGTCCGCTTGACCATTCTTGCTGTTGCCGGAGGGCTTGATATTCCTGATGCTGATCGTTGGCATCATCTCTCTCCGCTGCCGTCTTTGCGCCACCAGCACCACCACCACCACCACCACCGCCCGACCGCCACCAAGGCTACCACAACCTCTCCTACTCCTTCTGATCCGCTATTTCGTTGCGACCGCCACTGCTGCTGCGACTGCCACTTCCGCTCCCGCTTCAAGCACTACTGCTTCTGCTGACTTGTCAGGTCTTCAATGAAAACTCGAAACGGGTGTTCCCGATCTACTTCAGACGGGCGTCAATCGACGGGGTCTCAAAGTGCAAGTACTCCGTCCTTGACGATGCAAGCTGCGGGCGAGCCTCGTGATGCCAAGTTTCGGGGTGCAGGTGCGATGTTCAGGGCTAACGGCAGGAACTTGAAGGGTTCCGAGTCCAGGGATATGGGGTGTAGAGCTTCGGACTTTGGAACTTGGATTCAAAGCGAGCCCACAGGATGTAAGGTCGAAGCTTGCGGCTGCACGGATACGAGTCTTCCTATGGCATCTGCAAACCATAACACATGTTCAAGATTCCTCCATGCCACCGTTGGCGGCACGAGAAAGGGCTGCAGGGTTCAGAGCATGCCGTTCAGTGCCTACTGTATGAGCGTTTACCAATAAGAACAGGGTTTCGGCACATATTCTTCTTTAATGAGAATAGTAACACTGTCTCTTGGGGGATTCTTATAGTATATTCTGCTATCATGGCAATAAGGAGCCCCCCAAGATAGTGTAACTCATTCTTCAGGCTTCTTTATTGGGGTAGTTGTCAAAATTATGGCCCCTTTTTGGGTACCCTAGATATTAGGTGCCGTATTATAATAAGTACCCAAAAAGGGACCGTAAACCACCCATTGGGCTCATCCCTGGCTCCCACAAACCCACACACAGCCGCAACGGTCTGCAAGAAAACGCCAGGCGCCTGCTGGCGACAGTTCAACTCGAACCGGACGTCCTTCCCTGGAAGTGGGCGCCGGAGACTGGGGAGAGGAATGCTGGCTCATGCAGGGGTCGAAATAATCTAAATTCTATCCCCTCACCGTCCCGATATTGATATAACCATAGGACACCACATAAGGGACCCTAAGCCCCTACTCTTGTCATTCTTTTTGTTAGAGCCCCCATATTCCAACTCTGAGGAGCAATCTTATTGTTCTCTCTTCTCCAACACCCAGGCAAAACTGAAAACGCTTGCTAGACGTCTTGCAACATCCATAACACCACCCCCCACCCCCCCAAATCTGGAAACTCCAAATCGTGACCTCAAGCACTTGTCCAGAAAAAAACTTTCCTGCAGCCTCTTAACATCCGGAAGCCAAAGCCCTGTAAAACCCCTTATTCAGAAAGACTAAACCCCTAAACCCTAAACCCCTAAACCCTAAACCCTATATCTCTGGACCCTAAACTCTAAACCCTCGAGCCCTGAACCCCAAGTCGGCTAAAATGTCCGAAGATTCACCCCCCACCCCCCCTTGGCCCAGCAGGGCACCTGCTACGAACTCCATGGGTCGGCCTCGGAGTTCGCTTGGAGTGGTGTCTTAACGGAGCTTGTCTTTGCGGTTTTAGGGGACTTTAGGTTTAGGTCGGCGGTTCTTGAAGTTTCTGTGGTTTTAGGCTTTGGGGGTTTAGGCCGGTGGTTCTTCAAATTTCTATGGTTTTAGGGTTTTGGTGGTTTAAGGTTGTAGGATTGATTGCGTGGTCTTCTTTTCGACGGACATGTTCAGGCCTTGGGATGTTACAGCTGTTTGCAAGGTTTTCAAGGGCTTCTTATGGTTCAAGGCCGAGGCAGCAGTTAGAACTTGGGTGAGATGTGTACGAGTCTTTACACGGTTTCTGAGGGTTTACAGAGTTATTATGAGATCTTCTCGCGGGTTTATAGGGTTTTGGCCTTAGGTTTGAGAGCAAGGGCGTAGCATGCAGTAGGTCTCGCAGGGAGATGTTATGAATTCCCGGCGAAGGACCTGAAGCATGCTTAACCGAACTGACATGTTTCTGCAAGGTCTTTACAGAGACTAAATTGAATTACTATAGCAGGCGTGTTTACGTAGAGAGAGAGATAGAGAGAAAGCAAGATGAGTACTTTCTGTGGTAAGCTTCATTACCTTGAGGTGAGTTTCAGGATTTACGGATTAGGGATTACAAGAATATCAGCTAGGCTTTGTGGATACCACTTTGCGGTTTACGGATAAGGATTCAGTATACGGCGTCTGCTTTTAAATACACGGATATTTAAATAGGTTAAACACTACCTCCGTGAAAGATCGCCCGGGCCCGCCTCGAAATAAAATATCAGGAAATTGGCAGATCATTGGTGGTTTGGGGTTGAGGATTTTGGGGTTGAGGGTTTAAGGGTTTAGGGTTCAGGCTGCTGCCCTGGAGGGATGGAGGCTGGCAGGCTGGGCTGGGGCTGGAGGAAGGCTGGAAGGCTGGAAGGTTGGGAGGTTGGAGGAAGGTGGGAAGGTTGGAAGAAGGCTGGAGGGCTGGAGGGCTGGAGGGCTGGAGGGCTGGAGGCTGGGCTGGAGGCAGGCTGAGGCAGGCTGGGCCTGGAGGACGGCTGGAAGGCTGGAGGCTGAGGGCTGAGGCAGGCTGGGCTGGGGCTGGAGGAAGGCTGGAAGGCTGGAGGAAAGGTTGGAAGGGTGGTGGAAGCATTCCAGCCTTCAACTGCTCCAACCTTCAGCCCCCTTCCAGCCTTCCACCCCTTTCGTGGGTTTGGGGTTTCGGGTTTAAGCGTCAAGCCTTCAACCCCTCCAGCCCTAAACCCCTTCCAGCCTTCAACCCCTTCCAGCCTTCAACCCTCCAGCATTCCAGCCTTCACCTTTCTACGACTGAAGGCTAGATCACGTCATACTGGGATTTAAATATACGGATTTAAACAAATATTTTATACTACCTCTGCGGCCAGTGCGGCTGGCCGGGCCCCATATATATAAAAAACGTCACCGTATAGGGAGACTGTAGGGAACATGTTCTCAGAGACTCTGACATGATCTAGTTGGGGTTTTCAATCGAGAGTCCCTCCCCCTGTTGAGGCACAACTCCGTAGTGAAGGGGTTTACTGTCTGGTTCTTAGTAGGGAATGGGGGAATGGAATATGTAGACTACTATTGGGGATTATATAGAGACTACTCGAGGGATCCATTCCCCTCTTCCCTACTAAGAACCAGGGCGGAGCGTTGAAATTCTGGGGTTGAGTGTTTGCCGTGTTTCGGGTGAGCGCTGGTCGTAGGGCTCGCGATTAAGGTTTTGAGGGTTAGGCTTTTTGTGCCGGCATTGGAAGTGCAGATTTGGGGTTGAGATTTCAGGTTTTGGGTGTCGGGTTTAGGACTCAAAGCTTGGGCTGTAAACCCTGCATACCTACACCCCTAAACCTTAAACGCTAAGTCCCAAAACCCGACAACCCTACAACCCTGAACCCCACTGTCCAAGCCCGAGCCCGGCAAGAAAAACACCCGAAACCTGTACCCTAAACCCTAAACCCCTAAACCCCTAAATCTTAACCCCTAAACCCCTGAACCCCTAAATCTTAACCCCTAAACCCCTGAACCCCTAAATCTTAACCCCTAAACCCCTAAACCCCAGACCCCTATACCCCTGCACCCCAGACCCTTATACCCTAAACCCCTATACCCTAAACCCCTATACCCTAGACCCTTATGGAAAGCCCCAACTCTGCCACCGAGCCGCGGTTCAGCTCACGCAGGGGCGAGGCGGAGGTGCCTCCAGCCGGTCGGGGTTTCAAAAGGGTCCGAAAGGGTTTCGGGTTTAGGGTTTAGGGGTCCAGGGTTTCATTTCGGGTGTAGGGGATTAGGGTTTATAGGGGTTTAGGGCTCAGGGGTTAGGGTTTAGAGTCAAAGTTTGTTCTAGGATTTCGGGGTTTTTTACGACCGCCATGCGCCACCAATGCTGTTATGGTAAAGGGAAAATCGTCGTGCAAAGCGCGTAGGCGCTGCCGCCAAGCGAGCGGAGTAGCTGGGCTGTTTCTGAAGGTACTGCTTCATACCCAAGAAGTCTACTCTTAACTGGGAGGAGTAGCCGGGCTGTGTTTTGAGGTCCTGTTGGAAGAACTCCAAAGCTTTATCCGAGACTAATCCTCGCCAGTGCGGGGGGGGAGGACCACGTTTGCTGTTCTTTTGGATGCCTACTGTATCTTCGTAACCTGGGGAGAAGATTACGTGATGAATAGGGTCATTGTGAGGAGTAGCCAGGCTGGTAGTGAGCTGTTGTAGCTGCTCCTGTAGTATTATTTGGGATGGGAGAATGGGCTGTTCCGCTTTTAGCCAAACTGCTTTGTTGGTGATTCGGAAGTAATATGCTGCTTTGATGCCGACCACTCTCCTCAGGAACTGGAAGTACCATCCGTCTATTTTCTCGAGATGTTTGTCTTCCAGGGTGAGTGTACATAGGCCATAAAGGAGTACTGAAACGACGTAGGATCTGAATATGATCAACCTGGTTTTTTGGGGTACCGAAGTCTTCCAGAACGCTGACCGTTTGCCGTAGGCTATGTGGGCCTGGGAGAACCTATACCTATGGTTGATTGCTTCGGGGGTGGGATTAGACCAGGTCAGCATGGAACCTAAGTATTTGATTTTGGTTTCGGGGTTTAGGGTTTGAGGTTTCGGGTTCAGGGTGTAGGGTTCTGTAAGGCGCCCGAAACGGGCTCTATGAGGGGTCATATGCTTTACGGGTTTTTCGTGGTTTCGAGGTTGAGGTTTACTGTTCATAGGAATTTCATAGCCGGAAGCAGCTTTTGACCCTAAACCCTAAACCGTGGGTTGTCTGCCTAGGAGCCTTCCGCGGGTGGACTTGGGGTTCTGGGATGGTGGGAACGGTGCGTGAATGCGAAACTCGACCCCCTACTTAGAGGATCATGGGACTTAGTAAGTAGGTTATAATTGGGGTTATAAGTCCCCTAAGTGGGGTTATCCTAATCACAACCTACTTATAACCTTACTTACCAAGTCCCATGAGCCTTCAAGTAGACTGTAGACCACGAAAGCCGCAAACGCAAATAAACCCAAGGCACTAGCAGATCTCTAGCCGCAGCTCAGAGGTGTCCGATTTGGGATTGGGGTGCTGGGTTCCGGGCGTAGGATGTCAACTGCTGCATGATCAACAGTTTGGATGTGGAGAATTGGAATGTAGAACTTCGGCGCTCTGAACGTAGAGGCTCTAGTGGGTGGAACAAGCTTTTGGTGCTTTTCTTCGACTGTCATATCATACCTGAACTATACTTAAGCTCTGCAAAGGGATACCTGGATATTCCCTCAACCCTAAAACCCTAAACCCTACGTCCTAAACCTAAACCTAAACCATATTCGAGCCCAAACCCGAAGTGCCGATTGGGTGCCGAGGAAGACGTCCAAGGAGTCCAGCTTGCGAGAGGAGCAGCGCCTGGGGGAGCAGAGAGGAACCTGCTTTGAGGTATCTTTTTGTTGCTCTCTTTTTTACGCCTGCCCGAATCCTCCTAAGCTCTGCTTTGAGGGCTTAGGGTTTAGGGTTTAGGGTCTCAGGGTTTAGGGTTTAGGGAGATCATGTAAACAGAGCTTAGGAGAATTTAAAAGGGATAGGTTCATGAGCGGCTTAGAATGGGATTGACCATACACTGGAGCTTGTGGGCTGCAGGAGCAAGCAATGGCATGGACCAGACATCCGATGCCCTGCCCATGCTTTTTACCATGGTTATAAGGGAACTGTAAGGACTATTCCGACCTCTACACTACTCTAAGCCCTAAACCTACAGTAGGGTACGCCCTGGCGGCGTGTATTTTCGCACAAGCATTTTGATGTATTTTAGAGTAGTTATTGATACACAAATAAACCTACCGATTCCCCATGGACACTCCATCTCAGCTGGGCAGCGAGGAAGTCTGGTTGACGCCCTGCTTGATGCTGACCTTGGGCTTCTGGAGAGCGAAGCTTTCCGCGGGTTTAGGGTAGCCTAGGGTTTCGAGTTTGGGGAGGGGGCTTAGGGTTTAGGTGCTGGGATGGTGCGTGTAATTATGAAACTGTCTACACCGCGTGAAACGCCCCCAAAGAAACAACTTCACATAAAAGAATAATACTCTGCCCTAAACAGCCCTTAGCCCTAAAACCCTCAACTAAGAAGCCGCCTGCGAAACTTCTGAGCCAAGAAGCCCGGGCCACGGGCGTGCCATCCGTGCGCAGCACGCGCAGGTGCCCGAACCACTGCAGTCCCAGCTCGGGGCCTCTTTTGTGGGGGAGGGAGGGGGGTTTAGGGTGCAGGGTTTGGGGGGTCCGTTCGCAGAGCCACTTACGGTTTAGGCTTCAAGGTTTGCGTTGTAGCCTGGGTGCACATGCAATGGTGAAGGACAGAGGAGCTTTAAACAGTAACTGTACCACGAGACGTAGAGTATGACAGATCCCAATACCACATTCTGGCAACTATACCCCAGAAAACCCATGGAAGCCCATGCAGCCCGAAACGTGCAGCACCAGGCCTCAGTTTGGGGTTTGCGGTTTAGGGTTCTTTTTGTGGGGTGCTGCACGGCTCCCAGCCATGGTGACCGCGAAGGAAAATGGGTTTACTTTGTCATATCAAAAAGCGGGAACACTACGGTTGATGATATAAATCCTGCACTACCTTAAAGACCCTAAGCAATGGGAATTATGGTCAATTCCTTATATTATGGGTAATGCAGGATTTATACCATCAACCGTAATTGCACTAATCACGCCTTGAGCACTAGAGCCCAAGCCAGGAAGCTCCCCACCCAAAGTCCTAAACCCCAGAAGCCCTGAGCCCGAAACCCTAAACTGCAAACCCCCGGACCCAAAGTAGGGGCCTGGAAAGACCTGGCCATAAATTCGTAGCTCCGGCGTCTGCAACATGAGCATCTCCTCTTCAAGTTTAGGGTTTAAGAGATCAGGAATCGGGGTTGGGGGTTTAGGGTTTAGAGCTTAGGGTTTGGGAGTGCAGGGTTCAGGGTTCGGGGTGGATTGGGCTCAAGGTTCGGAGCTTTTGAATAGGATAGGAGGACTCACTCAGACGAACAACGTCACCAACCCCCGCCTCGGAGCCCAAAACCCCGAACGATCGAGCATCACAGCCTCGACCTGGATTTTCAGAACCCCTAAACCCTAAACCCTAAACCCTAAACCCTAAACCCCAAAACCCTAAAAAGGCTCCATACGTGCCTTGCAGCTTTTTAGAGGGACTCAAAGGTTCTGGTTGATCTATACCCCCTCTAATTATAGGAAACTCCAGAAAGTTGGAATATGGTTTCATGGTAGGATACCCTATAATTTACCATAGAAGGGTTAGGATAATCATATTCCAACTTTCTGGCTTTTACCTTAGAAGCATCATAAAACTAGCATTCCTAATGTTCTCTTGGATTTCATATGCCAATAATCCCAAGGAGACTACAGTGATCTGGCTTCTGCAGTACCCCACCCAAACCCTAAACCCTGAAACCTAAACCCTAAACCGCTGATCTGGCTTCTGCAGTACCCAGAGACTCCAATATCCCTTAATTAAGGAATATACCTTAAATGATATAAGGGATCCTACCAAAACTTACGGAATATTCTTTAATTAAGGGATATTGGAGTCTCTGGGTACAGGTGCTGCACCTTCCGGGAGACAGGGCCTGGTCTAGTGACTCCTCAGCCCCTCCCCCCTCTGCTTCCCAGAGACTCCCAGATCCCCAAAGTAAAGGAATATATTCCTTAAAATCATAATCGGGATCCTGAATTAAAGGAACAGTCAGAATAGTCCTTAAATCATAATCGGGATCCTGAATTAAAGGAACAGTCAGAATAGTCCTTAAATCATAATCGGGATCCTGAATTAAAGGAACAGTCAGAGTAGTCCTTAAATCATAGTAGGGATCCTACAATAACTTAAGGTCTATTCCGCAAGTCAGGGATATTGGAGTCTCTGCCTTGGGCATGTAGCAGCAGAGGGGGTGGATGCAGGAAACCAGGACGATGATGAAGAGGAACAGCCGCGCACACCGGCGAAGAACCGATTTCTCATCCAAAAGTCTACACAGCATGCCATGAAATACTGAATCGCCGAAACCAGCGCGACACCCTGCGTGCAAACTCCATGGCCATGAAAAGCCATACTGTTCATGAGAACCAGCCAGAGGCCCTAAGATGATGAGCACCAAAATTCATCAGTACCGTAGCTTTTCCTCTACCGTAGGTTCATTGCTGAGTTGTGGAACATGCATCTCATGCTGCATCTATTGGTAGTTACTCTGTTTTTTGAACCTTCGTGTGTGTCTTGTCCTTTGTGATGTACTTCCACTATCCTTTTCACGAAACGCCCAGACAAGCTGCGAACATGCCCGCACGCGACCTTCTGTCGGCCCCAGGCCGCTCCTCATGCAAGGGGAACCAGAACTTGAATTTCTGCCCACCTCAGTTGAACTTGGGCTAAGGAAGCTTATATAGGGTTTTGGCTGAAGCCACTCTAGAAGGTTGCGTTCAGGGTACGTCATGCTCGTATAGGTATATCCCTTCGGCATGTGTTTATGATTCCAAGGTCCCAGCCGAAGGGTGTGCGCTTCGAAACTGGCGGTTCTGTGTTTGGCACCGAGCATTTGCTGTATGTTGAAATCGTTCTACTCTGTCCCGTGCAACGTACACGTTAAGAAGAACTAGCTCGGCGAAACCTGGTCCCTCCAAACACCATTGAATCCCCAGCCAACCTCGTTCCGAGGCGTAGACCCTAAACCGACATTCCAAGCCCAAGCACCTAAACCCATTCGGATTGCCTGGGTTCACCGTTTTCACCGTTAAAGAGTTTCGGTGTTGGAAGCCCCGCTGTTCTCAGGCAGGCCGAGAATCCACGCAGAGCCCGGAGGAAGCTGTCATATGCAGTTCAGGGATGACTGTAGGAGCCTTAAAAATTAGAATAGGGTTTCCCCTAAACCCTACTCTAATTACTAAGGCACCTAGATTTGGCCAGAGGGCCTTGCAAAAGATCGCAAAGCCCACTCAAAGGCCGATAAGAGTACCTGATAGTCCATCCTGAGGAAAGCACAATTGAACCATAAAGCCGAAGCTTATATGGGAGTTTCCAAAAATTAGGGGACCTTACTTTATGGTCCTCATAATAAGGATCCTTCTATTTAGGGTACCATATTAGGGTCCTCTGTTTTCGGAAACTCCCATATCTTATGATATTAAGATCCAACTATTAATCGTATTCTTCATATTTACTACAATCCATTCCATTACTCTCCGCGCTAGAACCCGCTACAGAACCCTGTAAGAGGCTGCCGAGGCACCGAAGAAAGTGATTGGGTCACCTGATTACTTGCTCTCCGAGGCTTGGAATCTTCATTTTGTGGGGTTGAGGACTTGTGGCACTTCCTGCTTTGGGGTTCAGGGTTTATGGGGTTTAGGGTTTAGGGCTTATGGGGTTTAGGGTTTAGGGTTTATAGATGTTTATAGGGTTTAGGGTTTAGGGTTTATAGGGCTTAGAGGGTTTAGAAGGTTTATAGGGTTTAGGGTTTAGGGGCCTTTTCTTTGAGTGCAGGAAGGTTTCTGGCTTAGGGGGCTGGAGATCCGGCTCCTTGCTTCGGCTTTCGCATTACCCTGTGGTCTGCGGCCGTTTCATTGCCGATAGTGCTTTTATGTATAACCCAGAGGCTCCCATATCCCTTCATTAAGGAATATACATCAAATTATAATAGGATCTCTAAAATGATTCTTGGTAAGTGGTTCACTGTCTTCGCAGGCTGTGGGGGTAGCGAAGCAGTAGCGAAGTCTGAAGCCCTAAATCCCCAATCTTGGACCCGCAATCCTAAACCCGACACCCTCCCGCACTAGCGCTGCATCTGGCCAGGCCCCCAGAGCCCCCAAACACAACAGCCTAGGGTTCAGGATTACGCTCTTCCCTAAACCAGAAACAACCCTAAACAAACCCTAAACAATCCCCAATCCCAAACTCCCCAAAACTGAACCCTAAACAACCCTAAACAATCCCCAATCCCAAACTGCCACAAAACTGAACCGTATCCCTGGCAGGGAGCTTCCGGTGTAAGATATCGCAGGGCCGGCGTTGATGATGCGGGTGCCTGCATGCAGCAGAGATCAAGGTTCTGCGCTTTAGGGCTCCACGGTCTAGGGTTTGGCGGGTTTACGATTTGGGTTGTCAAAATCAAGGTCCCTTTTTGGGTACCCTAAATATTAGGTGCCGTATTACATTGGGGACCATAATTTTGACAACCACCCATTTAAGGTTTAGGGTTCTACACTCTAGGGTTTGTGGGGTTTACGATTTAAGGTTTAGGGGTTCTACGATTCAAGGTTCCGGGTGTAGGGTCTAGGGAGCTGGAAGCAGTCAGGAGTGTGCAGCGTAGCGGTTTGGGAACGGGGAGTTGGATGCAACCCCGAAAACGTAAACCGAACACCCCAATTGCCTTGCTGAGGGTAAGATGCCGCATTCTGTTGTTTGGAGGGTTTTAGGTTTGGGGTAGCGTACTCACGGTTGGGTTCTACATGACTCTACAATACTCTAGAAAAAGGTCGAGCTACCGAATGATCCATTACGCCCACAAGATCTTCCCAGTATGAATACCCGAAAGCCTCAAAGCCCTCAACCTTCAACCGCAAAGCATCAACCCCCGATGAGTTCTGTGACTTCGACAAATACTTCCAAGGTCCTTTCATTTCCCACTTCACACTTACAATCCTTCCGTGAGTCTGCTTTGTAAGAAACCTCTCAGAGGGGAAGATTTTGTCTGAAGGTTTGCTGACCCTGGGCACTAGGCACATGGGTGGTTGTCAAAATTAGGGTCCGTTTTTGGGTACCCTGAATATTAGGTGCCGTATTATATTCAGGACCCAAAAAGGGACCTCAATTTTGACAACCACCTACATGCACAACAATCTCCTCTCCTCCCTCAACCCCGAACCTCCTAAAAGCCTCAAACCTCGAGGGCTCAGGGCTTAGGTCGTTCTTTAGTCTTCAGCTGCTATATTATTCTCCGTCTTACTACTATGATCATTATCATCATGATCATCATCATCATCATCATGGTCAGTATTGGTATTGATATTGTTGATATGTTATTGCTTTCTTCTGGAGTGTTAGGCCCAACTCCTCAGAGGGCCTGCTGGGTAGGCACGCTCAACGGGGGGCGTGACCTGGGAGATCCCCAGCACAAGGGATCTGGAGTTTAGCAGTGGGCGTTTGGCTCGGAATTTTTTGGGGGTCTGTTTGATCGGGCTTGAACAGGGTTGAGGGCTTTGGAGTAAATTGAAGTTTGAGATGACATCCTGTTTGACATTGATGTCCAGGCTCCACTGACGAAAATCTTGCACCAGTCACATGGCATGTTGCCGTCAATGTTAAACAGGTGTGCTGGGTTCTGGCGATGGCCGATGTCATAAGTCAGTGAGCGTCTGGGTGGTGCCAAATTTCCTCCATCCTCCATCCACAATACTATAGAGGCCTTACTAATTAGAATAGGGTTTTGGGGTATATTGTACTATAACATAGTATAATATACCCCAAAACCCTATACTATAAGGAACCCCCAAAATAGTAAAGGTGATTTATTAAGGACCCTATGTTATCGGACTATGTGGCGTCTCATGGGTTCGGATATCTCGCGTTCTTGGGCGTACCTCATGAGGCTGACTCAACCCTAAAAAAAATCCTAAAACTCTAGGGTTCCTTATTATGATTGTCGTATGATATACCCCCAAACCCTATTCTAAAATCCTAAAACCCTAGAACCCTAAAACCCTAAAACCCTAAAACCCTAAACCTGGGGCTGACCTAAACCACCCAGACCAGGAGCAGAGCAACCGTTCATCGCAAACGAAGCTTTGCTGCCAGGATTAGGCCCCGACGGGGCGGCCTACTTAGAGGATCATGGGACTTAGTAAGTAGGTTATCATTGGGGTTATAAGTCCCCTACGTGGGGTTATCCTAATTATAACCTACTTATAACCTTACTAACCTTACTTACTAAGTCCCATGAGCCTCTAAGTAGACCCTAAACCCTAAACCCCATATAGATCCCTTTAAGGAACCCTATAGATCCCTTTAAGGAGCCCTTTAAGAGCCCTTACTAAGTCCCATGAGCCTTCAAGTAGGGGGGTCGGGCCTAGGGTCTGAGGGTTCAGGGTATAGGATTTAGAGTTTAGGATTTGGGGTTTAGGGTTCAGGATATCGGGTTTTAGGGTTCAGGATATAGGGTTCAGGGTTCAGGGTATAGGGTTTAGGGTTTAGAGTTTGGGGTCTAGGGTTTAGGGTTTGGGGCTTAGGTTTTGTTTGGGGCCTAGGGTTAGGGCTTGGGTTTTGTTTGGGGTTTAG